GGTGGGCACCAGCCTTATCATTTTACCCACAAAGAGTTTATCTCTCCGATGATATTTTATAGCAGCCATAGTTGGGCTGAGAAGGCTTTTTAATCAGTTTTATGAGCACCCCCACCGGTTTCCCCCCTCTCCCTCAAGGCGGCAGTGGGGCTGGTTGGAAGGATGGAGAAAAGTGGGTGAGGGGGAGCTGCAGGGGTGAGTGTTCTGGGTGTCGGGGCAGTTAACACAGTTAGTGTTATATCCCTCAGGTTTTCTTATTGCCCTGCACAAGGTGATGGATATAAATGCCTGTGCGTTAACCCTCGTGTTGCCACTGCACCTCCTTTTCCCAGGGAGAATTAGAAAACACCATCAAGGGTGGGCTCCAGTTCTCAAAGGAGGGAACGTCACTGCATTTCCCAGCAGAGGGGTGTCCAGCCCAGATCCACTGGGTGGTGGTGAAGAGTTGGGGACTGGGGTTCTTGGTCTGCCCTGGATGCAGTGGCTGCCCCTCTGCCATTCTCCTCACACAGCTCAGCACCACCGAGCCCCACGGTTCTCTGCCACCAAAGCACTGACACCTCCGTGTGTCCTGACACTCGTCCACCTGTAACCTACAGCCCTACCAGCCCCTGGTGAGTTCCACCTTTGCATAAAAGCCCAGCTGGACTCTGGGCTAGTCTTTGAAATAAGCAGTAATCTTATTACCTTTATCAATTCAATCCTCTTAAGGTTAAGTCAATCCTATTAATCAGGCTTGTGATGTGGAGAACCTTATTATTTCAAAGTCAATCTGCCCATCAGTCAGTTACAATATTGGGAACAATCAGCTCCAGCCCAGCAGGGTGCCTGACCCCAGTGCTGTCTGTGGGGACACGGGTCTCATCAGCTCGGTGACACCCCCACGTGTGTGGACACACATCCCTGGGGCTGGAGGACCTTCCTCGGGATGGCGAGGAGCAAAATCCTTGCTGGATGGGGGCAGGATACCTCCTGCCAGACCTGTGTTCTCCTTGGCTTGCTGTGCTGAGGAAGTGCCCCTGCTGTCACCGCCGCCGTGCCAGGAAGTTTTTTCTTCCCACTTTTTGTGTTTGAGCATTGCAATTAGTCTGCTTCCCTGGCCCCATTGACATGGGCGTCGTGGGGTTGTGTTCTTGGGCAGGTGTTGGTTTTTCTGTCGGTGGATTTCACTTTTCAATGAGCTTTTTCAAACTCGGCCCCCCCCAGGGCACGGTGCTGGTGCCGATGTCTGCTGACACGGGGAAGTCACCTGCAGGGACATCGCACGGGGGGACACGAGGCTGCAGTGTCCTCGTTTCCAGGGCATCACCCCTATTTCCATATTCTCCTTCCAGCTCCTCCAGACAAAGGTTTGGGGGATCCTCACACAGTCCTGCTGCGAGATGACTTACTTAATCAGACGTCCTTAATTGCCGTGTGTGCCAGGGACGAGGCAGAGGTTAGGAGGTATTTCCTCACCTGCAGGAAGATGCTCTTTGGTTGTGGTTTGGGACAGGAGGATGAATTCACCCAGGTGGGGCAGGAGAAGTGGCATCTGAAGCTCAACAGATGCAAGACCCAGGGGAAATGGGAATGTTTTTAGGCCAGGGAGGTGCTGAGGACTGTCCCCACCGCGGGGACCGGGTGCTGCGCTGGGTGCCTTTCTGGAGGAGCTGCCATAGGATGACACACGCAGCTGTGGGCTCATGCGTGGTTTATTTGAAAAGTGCTGGAAACCAGCGCAGCCTTGTGCTGTCATGCTCTGAATTTATTTATTTATGAATTGCTCTTCTTTATCAGCATATGTGAAGCGACTGAAGTCGCGCAGGTTCAGCTGTGTCCAGTCTGAGGCAAATATCCTTAAAATAAACACGGGAGCAAGCCTGCAGAGCGCTGCCACAGCCCTTCATTTCTACTGTAGACCTTTTCCTTCCCCTCTCAACTCCGATATAATGAAATAAAGCATCTTATTTTCTTCCATTGCCAGGGGCCCTAACTGAAAACAACCCCCTGCTGATCTCTGCTGCTCAGAAACAGGGAGTTTTATTGGCTTTAGTTATTGCATTTTATTCAGAGCCTTGTATGTGGGTGAGTGAGGCCCCCGGAGGGATTCGACAAGTATTTGCATTCCATTTGTGTCTTCCGAGTGCTGGCTGCTGGCGTACTTAAGGCAGAGATACCAGACGTGTGATCCAGAGCCGAAGTGGCTGTTTTGTGTGGAGGGAAGGCAAGATCTGGGAGATGGCCCTGGGACAGGAATCGCAGGATGTCATGGGAACTGACCCAGGGCCGAGGTCCCTTTCCTGTGGCCAGCAGAGCTCCGCGGGGCCACCGAGAGCAGAGGATCTCACTCGAGGATGCTGGCTTGTGGGTATTTTGGTCCCTGGTGGATCTCAGGGACAGTTCATACAGCCCAGGAGGATGCTCCTTGCAGCCTAGAGAGGCTGGACCTGCTGGGGACGGTGAGAAGCCCTGGCTGGGAGGATGCTGTTGGCTCTCCTGGCCCTCGCCTCCATCCCCTGCTCAGTAACAAGGCTGGATTCTGCCACATTACACCCCAGCTTTGGGAGCTGCGCCGTAACGGAGCTCTTGGGGATTTCAGCAGCTTTTCTTCCCACTTTGGAGACAAGGGATCGTTTTTCTCAGCTGTGGAGCTGCAGGTGCTCCGTAGGGACTAACGGCCGCAGCAGAGGTTTCAGGGGGATCTTCTCCGGCTTTGTGTTGAGCCCCACGCTGGAATTTTGCTTCATTTTAAATTCTAGTGAGTTCTGTAGATCAGCTAAAATCATCAGAATTCATGCTATTGCTGGCTAAAACTTGGCCCCTGGGTTTCCACCGCCCGGCAGCCCTGGCTCGCCGTTGGGTTGTGCATCCCAGCTTGGCCCCGCATCCCGTGGCAGCCAGTCCTCAGCTGACAGGAGAGGGGAAAAGCAAACACTTGGCTGAGAGAAGCTATAAAACTCAGTGTTCCTGAGATAATTAGTATGTTGGGAAAGTGACAGGATAGAGAATCAAGCAAAGCCAAGGTCAGCGGCTGCTAATTAAGAATCAGCACCTTGTGTCAGCCTGAGCTGTGGTTTGGAATTGAAACGTACCCCAGGAGAGCCCCGGGAAGATAAAGGTGACAGAGTTACCCAGATAGCAGCTAACGGGATTTGAGCAGGGGTTTAAAGTTTCATTCCAGCTTGGCTGATAAAAGGGGCAAAATGAGAGAAAATAGTGGGGGGAGGCGTGTGCTTTGCTTCCAGGGGGGGATTTTTGCCTCTGCAGCTGCCGGAGCATCGCTGACATGGCAGGATCTGAGGAAGGGGATCTTCTGGCTGAAGAAATAATGGAAGTGTCATTTTTCTTTTTCTCCAAAGCTCCTCCTCTGGCTTTTTTGGAGGCTCTTCTGGGAAGGTCAAGGCAGCTGTTGGTCCCAGTCTCGTGGGAGAGACGGGATGAGAGTTGGGCTGCAGAGGTACCAGCCTTCCTCCCCTGTTCTCCTCTGCTCAGAGGGAGACGTACCTGCCAGCCGCTGGGATTTTCCTTTCTCTGGGACACAAGCAGAGTAACAAAGGGCCTGTGGATTAAATGGTTTGGGTCCCTTGGGTTGAGGTGGAGCTGTCTGTGAAACCTTGATTAAACTTCCAATGCGCAAGTGTCCCTGTGAAAAATGGAAGGGAGCTAAGTGCCTGCCTTGCAAACCTCCCGCTGGCAGGGAAAGGGACCTGAGTGTCCCCTCTCCCCAGCGGGGCTGGAGCAGCCTGGGTGATGGTCACTGATGGTCACAGCCCAGGGGGCTCTGGGAGCTGGGTTTGCCATGGGGACAGCGGGGACAGGACCTGGGGGGCTCCTGCTGCCCCTGCCGGGAACAGCTTCCATCTGGTACGGTCGTGACAAATGAAGGAGAATTTCTTAGTGAAAGGTTATTACCGAGCAGATTATTTTGTTTCAGAGGAAGGCAGTGTGAAAAAAGGTGCCCTTGGTTGTAGAAGTGAATTTGTATGTCAGCGTTGCTCTGCCTCCCGCACGGGGAAGCAGCGAGAGGTTTCAGGCATGTGATTTACCGGGTGCCAGCAGCCCGTGTCCCTCTGTCCCCCGGGGTCCCCCTGTCAGCCCCCCAGCGCGGGCAGGAGCTGGGCAGGGGCCCAGGGCTGCTTTTCCCATTAGCGGCGCAGAGGACACAAGCTGAATATGTATTAGCATTAAAAGCTGCATGCCATTTCTCCTGCATTAAGGCTGGCTGCAGCACACTAAATATCACACCACGTAGTGGATTTTCAGCAGAATGCACGGGGAGCTACGTGACCCTCTCCCATCAGATAACGCTGCTGCTGAAGCAGACGTGGAGCTGGGGCTGAAGCGCTGTTTTTCGGTTAGAATTTGCATTTCTGTGGCCCAGCTGCTGACCGGGGCAGTGTGTGCTCTGCTCCTGCCCACCCCTTCCATCACTCTGCAGCACAGAGGGTTATAAAATCGCCTGGCGTTTGGCTGTGTGCATGTCAGACCAAAAATGTGCCCAAAATGTGTGTGTGTGTCCTATCAGTGCTGTTTATTTCCATGAATACTAAGGAAGCAGGACGTTTGAGCATCTTGATGCCCTATTACAGGCTTGATTCTCCGCTGTTGACTGCGGGGCACAGCTCAGGACATCTCATTGTGCCCCTGTTACTCACCAAACACAGCCACAGGGAACAGCACAGAAAATGTTTCAGCCACAAAAATATGAGGCTGATTTGAGACCTAACCGAGAACTGACCAAAAAGGTTCAAAAGTGCTGTGTGCCTGGACTGAGTCATTTTTGGGGGTGCAAAGGTTGTGTCTCTCCAGTGATTTATGTCTCCTCTCGTCTCCGTGAGGTTGGAGGAAGAGGAGAGAAGTGGGGCTGGTGTTGGCACATCATGCACACCGGGGAGCACCCGTGGCACCTCCACTGCCTCTGGTGTCCTCCCGAGGTGACACCTCTCTGGAGAAGGGGAGGCTGCTGAACGAGGCGTATGTCACTGCCTTGGTGACCCACCATGGGCTTTGCTTTCCAGGATTTCTTGACTGACCTGATGATGTCTGAAGTTGATCGCTGTGGTGAGAATGAGCATCTCATTTTCAGGGAGAACACACTGGCCACCAAAGCAATCGAAGAATACCTGAAGCTGGTGGGGCAGAAATACTTGCAAGATGCCTTAGGTACGTATAGGGGGTTGGCAAGTCTCACCCAGAGGGGTCCTCCTCTGAGCTGCAGGGTGCTCTGGGTGGTGGAGACCGTCAGCTGAGCCCTGATGGCCATCAGAGGCACCAGCATGTACTTGCTGGAGGGTTTCTCTGGCAGTGGGATCCCAGCCCGGGGCACAGCCTCGGCCGCAGGAGGCAGCTCCCTGCTCCCAGGTGAAGGTCACTGCTGAGTTAGCGCTTTAATTTGCTTTCAGAGGAGATAACACATTGATATTTGAAGGCATTATGCTGCCTGCCAAGTCTTCTGTCAGGGTGGCTGATGGAGCCCTCCCCCTGATTGCACACCCCCGCAGAGATGCTCCCCCCGTTCCTCACGGCGCCGGGGAGTCAGATGGGATCTCCTGAGTCCTGGTGACGAGAGTCACCTCCCGCATCGCGCTGGGAACCCTCCCAGTGGTTTTTGGTTGTTTTTTCTGAAGTGTTGGCTATGGTTATTGCTCCAAAAATTTTTCTCTTGATGCAAATGAAAACAATTAGAGCTTCTGCTTCTGGGCAGGTCAGGAAGGAGCTGGTGCGTGGCTGAGCACAGCCAGCACAGCAGGAGGATGGGGAGAGGCTGCCTCTGAAGCCTCGTGTCTGAACCTCAGCCGAGGGCGGCCGGCTTGGACCCACATCCTAGCAGTAGGCTGGGCCCACTTTCTACTGAGCCGTTAATTTTTCAGTATGCTGGGTTCCTACCAGTGCATTTGTGTAATTTTAGCAAGGTGCAAAGAAGCGTAAATATTTTATTAAGGTAATAATAATAATGACAGAGTTGAGGAAGGGGAGATCGTTGGGCAAATTCAGTCAAACCAACAGATAGCCCACAAGAATAGGAAAAGGAATATTATTTATTTATGCCTTGTAATGCTTTCTGGTTGAAGGCAAGGCTGTAAGTAGATTACCTTATAAAATTTCTCAAAAGCCAGGAGATTAATGAAGGCAGAGAATTTTGAAATATTCCCCTTTCAGGGCTCGATGCAAATGCTGCCGAGCCAGCTCCATCCAGTACAGGAGGAGCCTGCGGTTCTCGCTGGCTGTTCGCGGCGCTGATTCTGTGTAGACCTTTTATCAGTGAAATGATTCATCTGTGTGTCACAAGGTAACACAATACAGCATAGTGCTTTCCTTTAAACCAGGGAGCACAAGCAAGTAATAGGGCCGGATAATAACAGCAGGCATCACCTGCAGGCGGGCAGAGAGGCTCCAGAGCTCCCTGGCAGAGCTGAAAATACATTGGAGAGGCTCTCCAGTACGTAATTAAAATCTGTTTTGGCAATAGGGGAGGAATGCAGGCTAGAGTGGGCAAAAAACAAGAGGATGGGAAAATCCAAGATGGTCAGGAATTGGGAGGGGAGCAAACCAGCTGGAATGAGAAATAAAACCAATGCAAACCGTTCTCCCAGAACATCACCCAACCCTGCAGGTCCCTGCGCTGCCTCTTCATCCCCAGTATCCCGCTCCCCACTCTCCCCAGCCCCTGCTTTGTGCTGACTGGGATTGATGGTTGCAATCCCCCCTGGTTGGACACGTGTCAGGGCAGTGGGGACACCCCCCAACCAGGGTCTGTGCCTGGTACCCGGGGTGAATGTGGCACGAGGCGAGGAGCTGGCAGAGCAGGAGCACGGCCTGAGTGTCCATAAGGGTGAGGAGCAGTCAGGCAGCAAACAGGAGTGCAGGGAAATGCAGAGATGTATTTTAATTTAATTTTGTATGATGTTCAGCTCAAAATAAACCAAGTAAATGGTTTCTTTCCTTTAATTACTTATTTCTCCTGCGAATCACACTGGCTCGTCAGCGCCAGGGCAGAGTCTGCAGTAGCAGGCCACCCTACAAATAATTACAGAACTTGCCAGAGTACTTCCTACTGGATTAGCCCAGGGGAGCATCTCTGGAACTGGTGCGATGGGGGGGTCAGGGGAGGCCGAGGAAGCGGGCCCTTTGGCAGTGATGTTCTGATGCAACAGCCCGTAGCCACAGAGGCAGAGCTGCCAAGTGGGGAAGAGGGATGGAATATGGTGTTTGGGAGCAGGGGTGCCTCTCTGCAGGGTGTGCTGGGGGGGTTTGGGAGCTCCCGAGGCAGTGTTGGCTGCTCCTGCATCCCCTCGGAGGTCCTGGGAGCTGGCTGGGGCACCCCCTGCCCCGGGAGCCACCGACCTTTCTCCTGCCCTGCTTCTGTGATGGGGAGTAGGGTAACTAACTGCTGGGGCAGGGGGGCTTATGAACAGAATTGCTTGAAGGCTGTGCCTCTCGCGTCCCCAAAAGCCATCACCCACTGTCTGTTTTACAGGGGAATTTATCAAGGCACTGTACGAATCAGATGAAAATTGTGAGGTGGATCCCAGTAAGTGTTCGTCTTCGGACCTCCCTGAGCATCAGAGCAACCTGAAAATGTGCTGCGAGCTGGCCTTCTGCAAAATCATCAACTCCTACTGGTGGGTATCCTGCGGGTGTCGCTCCCCTCTCTATGTCCCCAGATAATGCAAAAGCAGTACAGCTGCAGGGGACAAGGGTGGCACCAGTTCTCTTCAGGCTGTTGGTCTCTGCCCGTGTCCTGCAGTGCAGACGGGGGTCCTGGTGGTCCTGGGGATGGCCAAGGGGTGAGACAGCAGCCAAAGTTTGAAGTATCTGCTGTGGGGATGTGACAGCCTCACTGATTCCCCGTCACAGCTGTTCCTGGCACAGAGACACGGGGACAGGGTGGTGGAGTTGAGGAACATGAAATGCCTTTGCCAGTGTGACCAATTCGGAGAGGGACTTGTTGCCAGCTGTATAGAAAGTCTGGAATAAAGGGCAGAAATGCGTGTCCTGGGTCTCCTCCCCGTGTAAGGATCCAGTCTGGGTCAGAGGGTCGGGCTCTGCCTGCCTCCCCAGGCCAGGGAGAAGAATGAGGTGAAGTTTTGAAGCCCTCCGTGCAGCAGGCAGGGTCTGTGACACCCCCTCCTGCCTGCCAGGGAGCCCCGCCAGCACAGGGAGCTTTTGTTGAGGCAGATGTTCTCCTGTTGCAGAGTGCTGGAGCCCAGCAGGAGGATGCTGTGGCTCCTGGGTTGCTGTTTGGCTCAGCCCCTGCATTCCTCTGGGTTAACCCCTCTCTCTCCCAGCCCCGGGGTGCTTGCGGCTGCGGAGATGGGGAGCCCGTGGCCTCCTTGGCCCGAGGCCTGGTATGCAGTTTGAGGCATGTTGTTCTCAGGGTAAAGGTTCTTGCAACTAGTCAGGACAAGCCCGAATATACAAAATGGACTGGGGTGAGGAAGTTGTATCCTGCTGTGAAGGTGGCCGTCAGGCATGGCTGTGCTCGTGGTGTCACCTGCTGCTTGGCCCTGGGGACAGGGGACCAGGGGCCTGTGGCTCTGGTGCAGACACTGCCTGCAGAGGTGACCTGAAAGGGGGAAAGAATGGGCTTGTGACTCTGCTTAGAGAAATAAAAATATTTTCTTTCTGCTTGTTGCTAACATACCCAGGGACTCTCGTCCTGATCACATGAGAGGATGATGGTGTTTGTCTTACTGCTGGATTTGCAGCCTTCCTGCCTGAAAGTCTGGGCTTAGGTTTTATTAATGTGTTTAGTAGCAACACTGTTGTTGTGAAACATCAACTAAGGATAATACAGAGGGAAGGAAGTCTCTGATAATAAGGGTTTTTCATTTTCTCTCTTATCCCAGCTGTTGTGTTGAGGTCTGAAAACTCATTATATGTAATCTCCCAGGGTACTGAGGGCACCCTGCTGCAGGACCAGGATGGGAATTGCTTTTCCTGATACTGCTCAGGGGGAGGACCAGCAGAGAGAGCCTCACACAGCCTTCCTTTATCTACCACACAGGGCAGATTTCCTTACAGGTATCCTATACCTTATCCCGGGCCAATTAATAACTCTCTGACTCAGGAATGGTGTTTACCTGCTCTCCCAGGAGGGATTCACTGCTTTTAATCACCAGTGAATTCTAATTGTTTGAATTAATGTCTTCCTAAAAATACTGAAAGCAGCACTAAAAGGTCACTCTAAAAATAGGCTTGGAAAGTGACCTGAGGAAAGTCAGGAATGAGTGGGAAGTTTGTTCCTCCAGCCCTGCCTTCCCAAGGAACCCAGCGCAGCTGAGCTGCTGCTCCAAGTGGTTCCCCCTCACTCCTTTGTGCTCAACGGTTCTTGGGGATTAATTGGGCTGATGAGGGTTCAGGATTGGCCAAGGTACCCTGACAGCTAACGATCTTGCTTTAAATAGAGTGCCAGCGCGTGCATGCTCATCTGCTGGAGAGAGTCAGAGAGAGGAAAGAGGTTTACAATAACTGAAAATTGTTATAATTATGACATAATTTGGACATCTGGAAAGTTTCAGTGTAAGCAGAAATTCAGCATGTGGAAGCTCGTTACTGGAAAGTTGGGTAATGAATTACGGGCCCGTTTGTCACATAAAGCCGGGTAACTGAATTCCATCCGCTCTTACACAATTAAACTTTTATGGTCCCCCAGCCTGTGACAGCAAGCAGCACTCACGGGCTGCACGCAGCCGGCGCATGCATTTTCAAGGGTTTACTTTCCAGTAACTGTACAACCTGTCCTGATCGCTCAAGCCTTAAATTGCTTAAAGGATTCTCCTGTTTCTGGGCAAATACCATGAAGCAAAAGGGCTTTGTCCAATTGTGTGGATCAAGCCAAAGACAGAGGAGAATTTATCCAGCCGAAGACGTTGGCTAATGGTATTTATAAAGCACAGGGTAAAAGTTCATGAGTGTGAAAGCGTGAAGCCGGGAGGGAGCATTTGCTGAGAACTTCATGGAGTGTCACTGCCTGTGTCAGGAGGTCGGAGAGAAACCTGAAAATCTGGAGAGCAGCTGAGTGATCTCCTCCGAAGGCAGCTGTGCTGTCCCTGGGGTGGGAAGTGCATGGTGGGGTGCCCATGGGCTGGGGTAACCAGCAGCCCCAGGCCTGGGACCACTCACTTGGGCTTGAAGAAGTCCATGTCCGTAGCCCTGGGAAGCAGAGTTTGGAGGCCTGGAGGGTGCTGCCGTGGGGGTTCTTCGCTGTCAGTGCTTCTCAGTTTTGGAGCCTCTCACCTGTTCTTGCTGCTTCTGGATGGTGGGTGGTGTGTCTGGCCATGCAACTCCCATGGTTTTCTCCTCTCCCCGACTCGTGCGAGGTTCAGCCACAGGACAGCCGGTCCTGGGAGGGGGACAGGCTGGTGAGAAGCCAGCTTGGCGCTGCTTTGCTTCTTCCAGAAGGTCCCTGCAGCAAAAACGGGGAAAACGTCTTCTGAAATGGCTGTTTGTTAAGGAGATTTATGGCCTAAAATGGAGCCTGACCCCTCTTCAGTCTGTTTTTGTACCATCCAGCTCTGTGGGTAAACAGCTCTGGTTTTCAGACAAAGAGGGTGGTTGCTGGCCAGGGCAGCCCCCGGGGTGGGTAGGGAACCGTGTCCCAAGGGACCATCGTCAGCGCGGTGGGACCCATTGCCAGGCTGCTCCCGCGGCTGGGGGCATCCAGCTGAGTAAATAACACACGCTGGGAACAGGATAAGGTGGGAGCAGGGAGCTGGGGAGGGCCCGGCAGAAACAGGCAGCACGTTCTCCAGCGATAAGGGCTGCAGCGAGCGCCGGCCGGACCCAGGGGAATTGTGGTATCCAGCAACGCCGGGCTGAGGTCTGTGCAGCTACAAGGCTGGAATAACTCCGGTGGGGATCCACGTCTGTATGAGTCACAGTGGGATTTGATCCAGGTGCTTGAACAGGAGTATTACAATGGGCAGAGCCCTCCCTCCGAGGGAGGGTGACCCCGTGCTGCCGGTGTTCCTGCCCCGGGGGTCCTGCGGTGCTGTGTGTCTCCAGGAGACACTCTCCACCTGGGTGGCTGAGCTTCCCCCCAGCCCCAGGTGCCCCGTGCCCCAGCCAAGCTGGCTTGAGACGAGCTGCTTTGCACAGTTTGTTTCCTATCTCTGTCTTCCCACTTGCCTGGGGTTTTGGCACCCAGCACAACCAGGAACAGTACTCTGAGGAAAGCAGCTTCTCTTACAACTTCACGGAGCAGCTTTGCTTTTTTTCTGTGTGGTTTGAGTCTCCTAATGGACACTCTGCAGAAAAAAAAGGTGGAGATGCTGTGCTGGGTGTAGGTATCGGTGCTGCTGTAGATCAGCAGGGTGAGAGGGCTCCGCGTTGTACAGGTCTGGGTGTCGCACCCCACGACTGATACACACCATGTTCAGTTACTGCTGTGTGACAGTTTGAACACCCTGGCCTTGAACTCACCATCCCTGTGTGTCCTTCTGCCGTTTCAGCGTCTTCCCAAGGGAGCTCAAAGAAGTTTTTGCCTCGTGGAGACAAGAATGCAGCAACCGAGGCCGCCCGGACATCAGCGAGCGACTGATCAGTGCCTCCCTGTTCCTCCGGTTCCTCTGCCCAGCCATCATGTCCCCGTCCCTCTTCAGCCTCCTGCAGGAGTACCCCGATGACCGCACTGCACGCACTTTGACCCTCATTGCCAAGGTCACCCAGAACCTCGCCAACTTTGCCAAGTGAGCCGGGGCGCGGGGCCGGGCCGGGAGAGGGGGAGGGAAGCAGAGTGTCGGCAGAGTCCCACGCCGCCCGCCCCGGTCCTCCATGGAAAGGGCCTCTTCGTTTCCTGTTGCCTTTTCCCCCCACGTCTCTCTGGGACCCGTTCCCTCACTGTAGGGTCAGGGAGAGCATTTAAGTTTCCAAAACAGGACATGTTTTATGAGCAGGAAAACAGGCTGTTTTGACTGCACAGACGAGCGGGACCGTCCCGGCCCTTTGTCCCGTGATGGCTCTGTGTGGCACGGCTGGTGACAGGGCACTGCTTGCCTCCCTTGGGCACCAGCAGGACCAGAACCCCAGCAGCAGTGGTGTGCAGAGCTCAGGAGCTGATCTCTCCCTCCCACGAGCTCTGGGACCTTCCCTGCTTCTGCACTGGGAAGGTATGAAAAGAGAACAGGGACACTATCAATTTCCAACTAAGCCCGTTGGTTTGATGGAAACAAAGTGAGAGATTTCTGAAAATCTTTCCACTGGCTGCAGCTCTGAGCTACTTATCCTGAGCTCCGATAACAAAATGATGAGCTTTCCGAAACATGAATGGACAGTTTCTGTCCAAAGCTTCTTAGATTTGGGAACTAGCTTAGTACGCACGCTCCCAGCCGGGGATGCGCGTAGGGGCACGCGGACACGGACGGAAGACGTGCAAGTGTGTTACACCAGATGACAGAAATTCTCTATATTCCTCACCAATCCCTAACTAAAGGGTTTTCAGATTTTCAGCACTTTGCAGGAAAGACTCTTTAACTAAGCTGACATTAGTCAAGCCAAAGTGATCAAGCTGAGCTGTGCTGCAGATGGCACAGAGCCGAGCCCGTCCTCGCAGAGTCGCTGGCCCTGGCACAGCACCAGCCGCCGCTGGTGGAGTTGAACCACGAGGCCCTCCCTGTTGTGCTCTAAATAAGACATCTAACTGAGAGCGAAGTCTGGGGGGAGTGCTCAGAGGGCAGAAGGAGGTTGCAGGAAGCCCATGGGGACAAACGTGCTGGCCCCGCTGCGGGTCTGGCTCCGCGGGGTGGTCCCGGGGAGGTTGTGCCGGGGCAGCAGCCTCAGTGCCCGTGGAAGAGCAGGGAGAGCACAGGATTCCTACCACCGTCCTTCTCTGGGCTTCAGTCAGTTGATGGTGCTTGGCTTTGCGATTTCTTTATTTCCAGTGACAGGTCCTATTTCTGGAGGCTGTGCCCTGACCCAGCAGTAAGATCATTCCATTACCAGGAGCAGTTTTGTTTCTCTAGCTTTCACCTTCGTTTCTGCTGCGGAGATCCCATGCTGACGAGCACTTAGCTGGGTTAGGCTGGAGTTAATTTTGGTTCCGTGACCAGTGAGGTGTACCAGGTGCCTGCTAGCAACCCGGGGGTCCCAAAGGCTTTGAAGGGTTCAGAGGAAGGCTCTGGCATTCCTACCTGTGTATGTACCCACCCCTTCTACTGACTGCACTTCTATTCACAGAACTTAGCTGAAATTCACATTGCTGTCTCGATAGGTTTGGCAGCAAGGAGGAATACATGTCCTTTATGAATCAGTTCCTGGAACATGAATGGACTAACATGCAGAGGTTTCTACTGGAGATTTCCAATCCCGAAACCATCTCGAACACGGCTGGCTTTGAAGGCTACATCGACCTGGGCCGGGAACTCTCCACCTTGCACTCGCTGCTCTGGGAAGTCATTTCCCAACTGGAGCAGGTATTGGGGGGGTCACAGGGGCAGGCCAGGGGAGGGGAGCATGGTTGGCCAGTGCTGAGCATTATGTACCACACCACACACCTCCCCGTGTCCAGCAGGAACCAGTCCATTAGCTGTTTCTGTGCACAGCAAAGCTGTTGCTAACCCCGAGCACTTCCCAGCCTTTGCACGTGCTGCAGAAGTAGCTCATTCTTTACGTCCTTCTCAGAGGCAGGTGAGTGCAGCTCTTCCCCTCCTCTGCTGCTCATCGTGGAGGGGTGAGGATGGAGGGGCATGTGGGATGAGAAGGCAGAGCTGCTGAACACCAGGATTTTCTCTGTCCCAGCAGATTCAAAAGGTGTCTTTTTAGCTCAAAGGATTTTTGTCAAGAGACCTGGACCAGGCATGGCTGTAATTGTCACCTTCTGTATCTGAACTTTGTTAATCACACTTGCTTCCCCGGCCCCACAGCAGCACGTGGTTTGTGGGACATCCCATACCCTCAACAGTGAGGGTGAATGGTGAAGAAAATGAATGTTGTTAATGTGGTTCGGTGAAGAGACTGTCCAGCAACTGGCAAAGCCCACAGTTCTCTAGAAAAACATAAGGTGTTGGTAGTAATTCTGCTCTCTTTTTTTGCCCAGGCCACTGCAACAAAACTCGGGCCTCTGCCTCGGATCCTGAGGGACGTCAACTCAGCACTCAGCAACCCGGCCTGCGTGCAGGTCTCGGTGACGGCTGATCACACCGCGTCCACACCCAACGCTGGCAACAGCATCTCTGCAGGGCTGCAGAAAATGGTGATAGAGAATGACTTATCTGGGTAAGAGCATAAAAGGTCGTCTGGGAAATACTGAATATTCATCTGCTGCCAAAGCCTGAGCACCTGCGGGGACAGGCAGGACAGGGAGCAGTGTGGGGGTGCCTGATCCATTGACTAGGCTTTCCCCTGGATGTAGTTCAGCTCTGACTCTAGAGAAAGCAGTGGGTGGTAGGGCAAGCACGTGGCTCCCTCCTGTGTCCCCTGAGAGCCACTGGGGATGTGGTGTCTGGGAAATAAGGACTTGGCTGTTCTGGTCTCAGCTGTTGAGATGTGGCTGCAGAAGCAAAACGTTCATCCTGTGAGGACTTGAGGGCTTGTTTGTGCTAACCTCAAAGGGATGGGTGACACCATGAAGTTCATTAGGTCTGCAAGTATGCAAGGTTTATGGGATTGGCCTCAGCCATCTTAGTAGGACACGGGTTACGTGCTGAATTCACTGAGATCCAAATCTGGACATTTCTCTGACAGTTGCCAGGCCTAACGATGAATTCCAGTCTGCTCTGTCCGGTTTTTTTAATAGTGGGTGTTTTTGATGATGAGCACTGATTCACAGACACAGACACCTAACATAGTTTTTGCCCTAATTACGTAGGGAGTTTCATTCATGGGGAGGATGACTCTCTTGCAGACCTATAATGTTTGTGTTTGTGGCAAATGAAATGGAGCCCACACAAATTGAAAGACTGTGCTAGTAATACAGTTTGTAAGTGGAAACTGCATAATATTTAACAGTTTAATTAGGAATGAAAGGCAGCAATGGCGTTGGACTTCCTCTAATCAGAGCTTTCATCTCTAATGCTTCCCAGCGTGAGGTGCAATTATTTAAATCTGATGCTATGGAGGATCTCTGACAATACGCTCTCACCCAAATACTTGCTTACAGTGCACCATCTTTGATCAGTGACATAGTCACATTAAGCTACTGCAAAGCTCTTTCTTCCTATCCCCAAGAAATCAATATTGCATGAATCAATGTTTCAGCAGGAGGAATGGGTGGATAACCTTCAGTGTCCAGGCTTCAGCTCTGCTGTTACGGCTCTGTCCGACCCTTGGTCTCCTGGTGTGGATCAGGCCCCCGTGATGCTCTGTGTTGTACGAGCGTTGGCCAGCGTGCCCTCTGGAGCTCATTGCCCAGGAGCAGAGCAGGGGACACGAGAGAGGCCTGGATGCAGGAAGGGTGACACGTGCTGTCAGGGTGATGGGTGGATGCAGCCAGGGGAGGCAGAGCGTGTCTGTGATGCCTCCTGCACGGCTCTCACCACCACCACACACCCCTCACTCCCCTGCCTGTGCCAGCATCCCATGGGGGGGTCCCGGGCTCCCCCGTCCCCCTGGCACCGTCCCTCCCCACTGGCAGCCCTGCCCCAGGGGTTACGTCCCCGTCCCACACCGCTGCGCCACGCTGATTTTTTCTGAGTGATTTCGTTTTCCTGCTCTGGTGCAGCATTCACAGCTCTTCTTTTTTGTTTTGTTTTCCTCTCCTCTTCCTTACGCACTGACTTCCCCGCAGTCTGATAGATTTCACACGGTTACCATCTCCAACCCCTGAAAACAAGGACTTGTTTTTTGTCACAAGGTCTGCTGGGGCCCAGCCCTCGCCTGCCCGAAGCTCCAGTTACTCAGAGGCCAATGAGCCCGACGTGCAGATGTCTAATGGCAGCAAGAGTTTGTCCATGGTGGACTTGCAGGACAATCGGCTCTTGGACAGTGGGGCCAACGCGCCGGGCACGGCTGACTCCCTCAATGACAGTCAGTCCTCCCTGGGGCAGTTGCAGGGCGTATGGACCACACGGACTCAGCAGAACAGCGTGACGGGCATGGCCACCGTGCGCCGGGTGGGCCAGACCCCCACCACGCCGAGCGGCGAGAGCGCGCCCGGCCGGCCCCAGCTCCTGGCGCCCCTCTCCTTCCAGAACCCCGTCTACCAAATGGCCGCCGGGCTGCCCCTCTCCCCCCGCGGCCTGGGCGACTCCGGCTCCGAGTGCCACAGCTCGCTCAGCTCCCACAGCAACAGCGAGGAGCTGACGGCCAACAAGCACGGCTTCGCCGCCCCTGCCGCCAGCGAGGACTTCGCCCGCCGGACGGGAGAGCTGGCCCGCCGGCAGCTCTCGCTGACGGAGAAGGGCGGCCAGCCCACCATGCCCCGGCAGAACAGCGCGGGACCGCAGAGGCGGATAGACCAGCCGCCCCCGCCGCCCCCGCCCGTCACCCGGGGCCGGACGCCGCCCTCCCTGCTCAACACGGTTCAGTACCAGAGACCCTCCAGCGGCAGCATGATGTCCTCCTCGCCCGACTGGCCAGGCAGCGGGGCCCGCCTGCGGCAGCAGTCCTCCTCCTCCAAAGGCGACAGCCCCGAGATGAAGCAGCGCACGATGCACAAACAGGTGAGTTGGGGGGCTGTCCCGGCCCTGGGTGTCGAAGGGGCCAGCGCGTGGACTTGGAGAAGAAATTGGCTGGTGGGGACTGCTGCAAAGGGAGGGGACGTTATCTTGGCTTTGAGGTGCCACATCAGTGCCATGCCCGTGGTGGCACTGCATGTGGGGATGGACCTTGGCTCTTGCACCCAGCATGGCCTGAGATGGAGGCGCTCCAGGGAAGGGGACACAGCCCAGCGTCCCTTCTCTGTGTCCCTCCGTTGCGTGGCATGTTGGCGTGTGACTGCCGCAAGGCGGTAGGTGGCAGAGACAGGCGGGCGATGGCAGCCATGCCTCTGTCCTGCGCTACCATCTTGTCACTGCTTTGCCTCTCCATGCCCAGGCTCTCATCCCATGCCATAGTCAACCCCGCGCCATCTCCCAGACTTGGACCAGGCCCTGATCTTCTCTTGTAACTAGGAGTCTCCCTGCTGCCACTCCTGTCCCAGCGGAGCCACAGCACTCCCGGACCCTCCTGTGGGTGCCTCTGGGGAGGTGGGAGCCGTGAGGAAGGAGCGTGCTCCCCACCAAGAGTGAAGGTCCTGCTGGGCAGAGCTCTACCGTGATTCAGGCCCCAGACCACACACTGGTCTGCACAGAAATAAATTTCCCTATTGGTGGTGCTAAAATTGAAAGCAGTAGATCACAGACCCAGGGCCCTCTGGTTTTCCTGGCACGGATAAATTGTTTTTCCAGTGCTCGTTTATTCATTCTGCATTTCAGAACTAGCCCTATAGAAAGTTAGCACAGTAGGGCCTCTCAGTGCCTAAAGGAAGAGGTTTTAAAGATAACACAGACCCAGAGAACGTGGACAACTGGCAAGAGGTCGCTGCGTCTCAGCCCAGGCCCAGCATTAAGGCACCTTTTCAACAGGATGGTGTTGGGAGAGCAACCGAGTGGGTGCAACTGCCTCCCCGTGGCCGGGCAGCCGCGGAGGCCGGTGTCGGTGCTGCCCTGGAAGGCTGTTCTGTCAGCCCCATGTGTACGGCATCGATTCGTAAGCACTGACATTAGCAGGCATCCCGTGTAGCGGCATCTGTAGAAAGTGGATCGATACTCGTTAGGTGCAGAGGGCACAGAGCTCCACAAGCAGCAGCAGCCCGTTTGGTAGCGGAGTTTCTTGTAGAAAGAGAGAACAGTGAGCTCCGAGTGACCTTTGGAAAGCCCTGGCCAAGTTGTGTTTGCAGATCTTTCCTCCACCCACTCCTGTTGTCCTCTCAACGTTTCTCTCAAGACCTGAAGCCCTCGGAATGCACGTCCTACCCTTCATCTGCGTATTTCACTTGGGTGTTAGCAGCCTCTGTGAACCGTGATGAAACTGCTCATAGTGGGTGGTATTAAATGCTGTTTGAGAACAAAGAAATCCCATTTGGTGACCATCTTAGTAGAAGTCCATGAACTTCGTTCCTGCCAGCCAGAAGTGCTTCCTCTACCGCTGTGAGTTCCTCTGCTGAATTGACTTCCCCACTGTCCTGGGCCAGATCAGATGTCTTTTTTTACTTCTTCAGAGGCAGAAGAAAGAGGCAGAAGGCCTCCTGCACAGTGGGCTGAGCTCTGCTCACTGACAGCCTTGGACCGGTGGCCTTAACACTGCTGAAGTGACCCTGGGTGGCCAGTGCTCCTCAGCCAGAATTCTGAGAAGCAGCCACAAGTACAGTGCTGGAGATGGAAGAAAAAGCAGAAAGCCACAAGCTGGGTGAGGGATGAGAGCAAGTGATGTTCATGAGCCAAGTCTGAGGCTTGTGATGTAAAATTCTGGAAGTTGAAGACCAGAGTGGAAGATGTCATTGGAAAGCCCCAGCGAGTTGATTAAACCAGTTCCCACTCCTTCTGAGTATGGACCCTTGGCAGTGACCGGGTTTCTCTGCTGTCCAGAGGTTTGAATGAAGAAGAAAGTCCCCGACATTTCTGACTTATTAACTTGAATTCCCTCAACCAAGTCATCCAGATCCCTCGTGTTCATCCAAGAAACTGTTTACTGCAGTGTGTAATGAGCCAGGATGGAGGGGAAATAGCTGGAGATTCACTTCCTCAACCTTGTGATGTGGTTGGAAAATATTTAGGCCATGCTAGGAGTGAAAAGCAGCAGCTCTGGCTCAGTGACCATTGAACATCACTGCTACAGGAACAAACCTAGGGATGATCTACTAAGATGTCGAGCACTTAGACCTCTCCAGTATCATAAGTGTGGTCTCAGCCAAAAAGAAACCTACCTCTTCCAGGAAGGCACCTGCATGACCAAAAGGAGCACTGCAGTTTGCAGACCTTGTTGTATCTGTGTGAAATCTCCACAACAAGCCAAAAGATGACTCAGGAAGAGAGGCTGAAGAGTTGAGTGACCCCTCTGCTTGTGGAGTGGACATACCACATCAGCCACTCCGTTCTCCTGCAGCTCTGCGCTTCTCGGGCCGTGTCCCCCCGAGGTGACAGGGCCTGCTCAGAAACCTGGCCTGTTGCTTTCAGCAGGACCCCACCGTTGTACATCTGTCCCAGGGTAGCACAGGGAAGAATCCAGCCTTTTTGACCTAAAATAATGCGGGGTGCCAAACAGGAGCTGTTCCTACCCCCCAGCCCCGAGCACTCTGGTAGCTCAGGCCCGTTCCTTGCTGTGTGAGCAGCACGGGAGAGGGCTTGCTTGGAAGGAAATTCTCTCTCTCCAGCTTCATGACCATTTCTGTTACAGGTTTTTCTTTTGTTATGGTTGTATGTTTCATTGTAGGCCCCTTCTCCTGTGAACCCCAATGCCCTGGACCGCACTGCTGCTTGGCTTTTGAATATGAACATGCAGTTTTTAGAAGATGAAAGCATTGACCCAGATTCCAAGCACAGGGATAAGCTCAGGAATAAGGACGAGCTCAGCCAAGCAGAAAAGGTAAAACCTGATTGGATTGAAACAAGTTTCTAAATAGAGAGAGGATTTCCTTGAATGTCGTTCTTCTGAGTGCCCTGGGGACAAGGTGGGCTGTGTGGCAGGTCCCTGCCCAGGAGAGAGGGTTGTCAGGGTGCTCTGTGCTCTCTTCTGTCCCACCGGCCACGTGTTGCCACCCACAGAACAGCAGACGTCACCCTCCCTGAACCTCTTTCCTGTTTTCCCAGCACAGACATGTTTCTGTTTTCGTTACAATAGCCTTCCTGTTCTCATTTTTCTGTGCTGTGTGCTGTCACCTCTTAAGTTCAGGTGCAATGCCAAAGGCAGGTGTGGTAGGGATGGGGAGGTACGAGGCGGTGGCTGTCCCAGGAGAAGCAGGGCAGTTCTGTGAGAGCTCACCCCATTTCTTCCTGCCTTTCTGCTCCTTTGGGCATTCCTGTAAATTCACAGACATGTACCGATCAGACAGCAGCTGACACAGACAAATGTACATGTTTGGCACACTTTGTTTGTAGAGATACAGGAATCTTGACTGCCACCTCAGCAGAGACACTAGCAGGCAGCAGATCAAAGGGAAGGAGTTCTCGGACCGGTGCATCATGCACAGGGTTATTGTTGCACTTAGTCATTGAAGGGTTTCTGAAGGGGTTCAGCGCTCATTCGAGTCCATAATTGAGATGACAGTGGCAGGTTCTGCTGTTCCAGTGGCGCTGCAGAGAGGTGGGATGCTGTAGGAGCACCCAACGGTGTGCTGGCCACCTCCATCCCACGCCTGCCAGCTCCCGCGGGCGGGCAGATGGCCTCCACTGTGGACATGGCCCATGCCAGGCGTTGTCACTCATCCCCTTCCTGGCACCCTCCCCGTGACACGGGCTCAGCTTTTACCAGCTGGGCACTCACAGGGGCTGCTCTCTTGCCCTGCCAGCCCAAGGGGCTGCTGACCCCAGGACGTGCCTGTCCTGTGCCGAGAGGTCCTCCTGATGGTAGGCGAGGGTGGGATTGCCTTCTCTGAGGGTATTGCAGGAAACAGGTCCCTGTCCCGAGTTCCAAGGGAGCCCCCACCCCCAGGAGCCTGCTCTCTCATTCCCATGCAGCATCTTCTCTTACTTTGCTGTCACATCAGTCACTGACATTAAAGATCGCCATTAGCATAATCTCTCTCCCCATGACTGTGAGACACGAACGGTAACCGAGAATGAGACAAGTGTTCTAGAGACAGGAGCGACTCCTTCGGGCTCTGAGGCCTCTCCTGCTATCACTTGAGCTCACTTACGCTGCTTCTATTTTAAGGCTAGGGTAGGTATTTAATCTTTCCTGTTCAAGCAACTCCCTTCTGTCTGACTCTAGTGCTTCTGTGCAACTGTATGGGCGTTTGTGTTCCCTCATCGCTCCAGGTTACATGTGCAAACTGTGTCGCTTCAGTGCCGCAGTGAAAGCTTTGCTAAAGGGAGAACAGAGTGGTCTGTGCTGCCCGTCCCTGCCCGGGCAGAAGGAGCTCAGGGGTCCTGCCCATCCGCCTGCCACGGCCCCAGTTCTTTGGCAACTCAAGAAGAACATCAGCATGATAAATTTTCAGTCCTTAGGAGCTGTTAACAGAGATTTCTGCCGTCAGCTGCTCTGCTCCTGGAGTGATGGCAGGAAAGCAGCGTGGGTTTCCACGGGCTGGGGGTCCAGCTGAACAGGTACAAGAGCAGCAGCTGATCTGCTGGTCCCATTCCCCAGCAGGACCCTCAGAACTGGGACACAACCAGGGCCATCGTTTCAGTGCTTAGACAGGGGATGATGGCCAAAGGGGAAGGCTGTATTTTCAGCTCAACAAGGCAAAAGGCAATAAAGCACATTTTTGTCAGTTCATGAATAACACTTGCAGCTTTGTAACAGACTTCATGAGTCAGATGGAAGTCTTTTTCCCATATCTGACTCTTTAAAAGCAGCTTGTTAAATGATCAACTCCATGCTAATTCTAAGGTTATTCCAGTTGAGATTTTTTTTGTTTTAAAGAAAATTTCCAAAGATAATTTTTTTTGAATTTAAAGCTGGGGGTTTCTGTACAGCCACACACTGGCTTTTCCTTTAGCAAAGCAAGTTGTACTGAATGCTGTGCTTCTGCCATAGCTGAGCCTAATCTTACTGAGTTAGAAAGCTCTTCATTTTTATAATTGCTTTATGTGGTTCTGCTGCTGCTGATTTTTAGCTTCCTCTGAATGCCCAGTGCAACTGTGGGGTCTTGGCTTCATGCAGCAGCTCTTCTCAGATTGAACCCTGGTTTGACACCCGAGTGTGGTTTCAAAAGGTGGCAGGGCTCACTGGCCCCGCTCCCCAGCCACTTGCCCTCGCCTTGCTGAGGGGCAACCACTCTGTGCCAAGATGGTGGTGGCCTCTGTGTGTCCCTGTGGCAGAGCCCGCTGCCTGGCAGGTGGCACTAACAGCTCCTGCCTGGCTTCCAGCCCCTCCAGAACACCCACATTTTATTGTCTTAGACCGAAGAGCTCATGTGTCAACCCAAAACCCCACCGGTGCGGCTCCTGCCTGTGGCCACCCCCGCGCTGTCGGTGTGAGGACGGTGCCCGCTGCGTTTGCCATTCGCTCGCTCTAACCCGCGTTCCTGAAATGCCAGACTCTGCTAACAACCCCTTCTCTGAACCTGCCAGTGACCTGCCCGCCCAGCGGATCCCAGCATCGCTCCTAGCCCCGCGCGGAGAAGACCGAAGAGGAGGTGTCGGCAAGCGGGGTTGTCTGATACGGGTTTGCAGCTAGTCTAATGCAAGGAGAGGGGCATGACCGGGTTATGGGGAGATCCTGGCAAGGGCAAAGCCCTACTGGGTAACGTGCCTCATGTGTTTTCTCCTCCTGTGTCTGTCCCTGCGTGCCGTAGTACCAGCAGGACCTAGTGGTGCTGCAGGACAAGCTTCGCATCTCCAACAAGAAGCTGGAGGAATATGAGACTCGCTTCAAGTGCCAGGAGGAGACAACGCAGAAGCTGGTGCTGGAGTATCAGGCCAGGCTGGAGGAGAGCGAGGAGAGGCTCCGGAGGCAGCAGGAGGATAAGGAGATCCAGATGAAGGGCATCATCAGCAGGTACAGGGGAGGTGGGAGTGCTGGAGATGCAGGTTTCTTTGGAGGTACAGACGGGTTTCCCATGAGGGTTTTCCAGCATTTATTCACTTTCTTCCCCTTCTGGGTTGCAGTTCCTGGTGGGATTTCAAGCCCTGGCTCTTTGGGTCCCCCATCCTTGTTCCCTGGGACAAGGAAAACCCCATTTTTCTGATTCACAAAGGCAAAACTTCAGGAGGGGAGAGCTGGCAGCGCGCCCCAGCTCTCGGAGGATCTGGCAGGCTTGCTCTTCTGTTCATATGAGCGATAGATGTAACAGTTAAAATGTTCTTTTCCTGATGTTTAGCTAAAGATCTCATCACCACCCCATAACTCCTAGCTACAAATCCCTTTCTCCTGCCCAGTGTGGTGCAGTGTTTGCATCTGTGCAGGACACAGACTGTTCCACGTGCTTCACAGCTATCTGAGCCAAGACCACTTAGTGCCTTTAATCAGCCCTCGTTAATGGGTCAGCCTTCACTCTTCTGTATCACTTAAGCTTTGGGCCAGTCTGCTATAGAGGTCTCTAGAGACAGAAGACTGGTTCTGAGCTGGTTTGTGTGTAAAAAGAGGCAGTGCCAATGACTGTATGTGTCTCCTTTGTGCTCCACTGCACAACTGTGGGTCCTGGGCACATCTCAGGGTGTGCTTCAGCACTGCAGTGGGAGGTGAGATGGCTTGAGCTGGTGTGGCTGATGGGGGCTGCTTTGTGAGGCCAGTGCTGGCTGTAGAGCAGCTTCTCTGCTATTTCACAGCTCTTGCTTCAGAGATGTACATCAGCCCTTTGCTTCCTTGGTGTCAGGACTAAATGAGGACATGATCTGTAGCCTTCACTCCGGGTGGCGGATTCAGGCGTGCGTGAGACGGAGATCGGGGCTTCACAGAGCCCAACAAGTGTAATTCTTTTCTTGTCTGTTTGGCTACCAGGCTGATGTCAGTTGAGGAGGAACTAAAGAAGGACCACGCAGAAATGCAGGCTGCCGTGGATTCCAAGCAGAAGATTATCGATGCACAGGTGAGTCCCTGATCCCAAGGGCTGCAGCACTTCTCGGGGTGAGCCCGCTGCCGTGCAGCCTCCCCGCCATGCAGCAGTGCCAGCTCGAGCTGGGTGAGCACCGAGCTGCAGTCGGTGGTGGAGCTGGTCAGAATCTGGCAGGATGTGATTTATTGTCACAACATTTGCACTCGTACAGCTGCTTCCAGCCTTGGAGCTTGGCAGGTGGCACAGAGGATGGGGGGTGGCAGTTTGTGGAAGGATCGTGCCCACAATTCAGTCAGCTTGTGGAAGGATCGTATCCTCATTGGCTCAGCTTGAGGTCCCTTGAGCTTTGCTTGGTGTTCATGTTCCCATAATTCCCGTAATTCTGGATACAAGGAACACAAAGCCCGGCCAGAGCAAAGCCAGCATCTTTGTTCAGCCCGTGGGTTGTGGTTTGCCGGATTGTTGAGCTCAGTTATTGCTGTGGATTGCAATGCCAGGGCAGCATCAGATTGGGGGTGCAAAACGCTACACTTGGAAAAGAGAATATGTAAATAGCGTCCATAATCTTTTCATTTGCCTAGGCAGAGATCAGCACCTTCTCAGCAGCTAGGCCTTCCCACAGGTTGTGGCTGAGGGATGGCATATCCTAGGCTTATTCGTAACAACCCTATTAAGCACTTGTGAGTCACTCCTCATGACTAATTTACTGTATAGCTAATTAAAAAGGAGATGAGAGAGTAGTAACTTTGTGAAAAGAATCACTGTTTTTCTGTAGAGTAATTTGTTCAAAGCTAGTAAATGATGGTGTTCCCTTCTGTGCTCAGGCAGAGCCAGGCAGGTATCGGGGTGTCCGTACAGTGCGAGCGGAGCAGACACAGCCCGACAGCAGCTCCCCTTGGGGCTGCCCTGTCTCCTCCACCTTTGTGTGACCTGTGAGGCTCTCACCATGAGCCAGTCTGCACTGCCTGGGTCATCTCAGGCTCTACAGTAGAATTATAGAATGGTTAGAGTTGGAAGGGACCTTAAAGATCATCAAGTTCCAACCCCCTGCCCTGGGCAGGGACAGCTCCCACCAGACCAGGTTGCTCCAAGCCCCTGCTTGGAGCAAACTGCTGTGCTTTGAGTGGTTCCTCTTCCTTCCTGCTAAGGGCAGGCAGAGAAGGGCAACGACTTGTCCAGTGTCACAAAGAACAGGAGTGGCAGAATGGGGCTGCAACACCAAAGGTCTTGCTGCCATCCTTACCATACTGTGATTGGTGAGAGTTGCCATCAAAGCCACCCTCGGAGGCCACAAGTCATTTCAACTATTAATTTACACTAACAAAATCGATTAAACACTGACAGGAATAACTATCTTGGGAGAGCTTGGGCTTAGAGAAGGGATCTTCCCATCTTTGTAACAGCTGCAGTTAGAGCAAACAACAGTACAATGAGTTGCTGTGTAACTGAAGAATTAGAGAAACTCTATTATCTCTGTTTTCTTCAGGATGCTAAAGTGACTTTAGCTCACGTTGCACAGGAAAAGTGTTTGTGGCCCTGTGGATTTCAAAAAATGCTGTGTAGCACTGAAAAACCCCTCACCTGAGGATGCTGAAGAGAAAGGTGCTGGTCCATGGGGCTCGTGGGTCACTGTCTCGGGTCCAGCCCTGGGGTCACAGAAGGTGACAGAAGGTCTCCATCCTTTCCACTGACTGTTCTCCTCTGCCTCTCTGTTTGCAGGAGAAACGCATTGCTTCATTGGATGCTGCCAACGCACGGTTAATGAGTGCCCTTACTCAGCTGAAAGAGAGGTACAGCATGCAGACGCGTAATGGGATCTCCCCCACAAACCCAACTAAATTGCAGATTACAGAGAATGGAGAATTCAGAAACAGCAGTAATTGTTAACGCGTGGAGGGCGCTGCCGCAGGAGAGGAGGCCTGGCCAGAGAGACGGTGCAGCAGGAGGTGTGAGCCCCGGCTTCAGAGAACGGCTGCTCTCTCCCCCCAGAGAAACCAGCTCCTTTCTGCGGACGGCGCGCTTGACTGAGCCTTTGTGGGAGATGCTAATGCCAGCACATTGAGGGGACGGAGAGATCGAGTGTGAGATGAGTGGCATAAGGAAATAACATATATTTGAGAATCGCTGTCACTTGTTGGATTTAAAATCAGTGTTTAATGTTTAAACAAAAGTCACCTTTTTCCTTCTAAACTGCCCAAAGGATATGCCTCACCCCTCCCAGCAAGGAATAACGTCCTTGTGGTTGTAGTAGGTGAAATAAAGGGAGCTGGGCAGAGCCTGCAGCAGGCAGTGGCCCAGTAAGTCCAGTTCAGGGGTGCTGCTGGATGCAGCCGTAGGAGGGATGGCAGCACAGCTTGTGCCCCCCAAACCCCCCCGGAGCACAGCCCTCTCCCAAGGCAAACCCCCAGCCCAGCTTTGGCTGGGTGTGAGGCCACTGACCCTTACAGCCAGTAACCATCCACAGGGCATTTTCGCAGCTAATTAGGGCTTAATTAACTCCGCCCATGCAGGGAGCACAGTCCAGATGGAAGGTGGGGGCGCACACGGGGTGCGATGTGGCAGCCAAAGGGGTGCTGCCTGGGGAACCAGGGCAGTGGAGAAGGGCATGACTGGTGCTGCTGGGGGTCCCTGGGCAACCCCGGGGCAGCTGAGCGAGCCCATGGCTCTGGCACAGGGTGGATGGCAACTTGAGGAGTCCTCTCTCCAGCTCCTGCTCGCTCACGAGTAATGGGGAAGAGTCTTTGTAAGCAATAGTCCCCCCCAGGCACTGTGTGTGTCCCCCCCAACTTCTGACCACAGAATAAAGTAAATGTTGCCTGAGCTTGGCCCCGAGCCGTGACGGAGGGACCGGGGCTGGATTTCTGGTGCCTGGTACAATAGAGGGGAGTGAGGGGCTGCGTGGAGTGGCCGGCGTCTTGCGTGAGAAAGGGTTCGTTATGGGGATGTAATGCTCTGTGCAGAGATTATTTTTTTTTTTTTGCTATTTCTGGGGAGGAAGACAAACAAGAAAAAAGCCCTGAAGAACCATGAAGATCGGTAATTGTATTTCTTTTCTTTCACAGTATGCATTAGAAAAAAAAAGATCCCATTTTCTGGAATACTGTCCTCTTTAAATTGGGAATGAGCACTGCATGGAAATTAACCGGCTCGAAGAATGTAAAACATGGTCATAAGGGAGTAACCAACAAGAACAGCAGCCACCACCGAGAGCCCCCTTGTCAGGAGCACTGTGCAGGCATAAGCCAGGATTAGACTTTCCCAACTGCAGAAACGCAGATTCGGCACACGAGACACGATGTGCTCAGCGGAGGGGTCACCTCCTTAACGGGGGATTGTGCCGCTGACCTGCCGCCACGCTGTCTTTGTTGGTTTGTGGTTTGGTTTTTTTTATTGCTTTTTTTTTTTTTTTAAGTTAGCACTTCACGACTCCCACTCTCAGAGCAGGTCACTCGTTCCGAGAGGCAGAGAGCTTTCTCTGAGATACGGATGACAGTGTACAGTGTACAGGACATCTGCCTATTCCGCCCACTAAGGTTAAATACACTGCTCAACGCCTGTCCCAGCTCCTCCTGCCATGTGTAAATGTACAGTCAAAGGGACTGGGACGTTCCCTGGGCTCTGCACAGCTTAGGGTCCATCTCCAGCCTCGCACCACCCAGGCTGCCTGAGCAGGACACTTGGCCATGCTGCCCCCGCGGCCGTAAGGCTCAGTAACAGCATTCTTCCACACGCAGTTTGTTTTCAAAATTAAAGATTTTTTTTTTGTTGTTGTTTTTCCTAAACGTTTTTTTCTGTGCCCTGGAACCCTGGGCTGAGCCCGGTGCAGCTCGGTCCTTGGAGGAGCAAACGTGTTGCCCCGAGGTCTCCACACCCCGCCAACGCCTGCAGACCCCAAACGGAGCTCCTCAGAGAAAAAAAAATAAATCAATAACTTAAGTATTTATGGCAAGTACAGCCACCTTTGAATTTTGGAGACTAGCACAGATGGCTTTGAAGAACCTCACAAAACTGACAAGGTTACAACTGGAGAAAGACCCAGACAGGTTAGGAGTCCCCAGGGTGCTGTGAACCGTTGGGCACCTGCCCTGACATCTGCCTCTGCCCCAGAGGCAAACACTGTAAGAACCCTGCAAAAAAAAAAGACTCATTTTAAACCGCTTTTGCCCTGAGATGTACCTTTAGAGCTGATTGTTTTTGAGTTCCAAAATACTTGTGTTGCCAGAGACGGAAGTTTTCCAAGAGAGAAGGAACTAGAGGAATGGAGACACGATAGCAGGGCGTCCCACCGGCAGCGCGGTCCCTTTCAGGCGTGGAAGTGATTTTGGGATGCAGTCAGTGCTCTCCCTAAGAGCTGGAAAAAAGAGAAACACCCTCAAAAGAATTGTTTAGTACTGAAGCTAAGCACAGTACAGCTTTATCTGCTCAGCCACAAGCCAAGGCACCGCTCCCCCAGCCCTGAGCTGTCACAAACTCCTGCTTTAACCTCAAACTTGCAAATCACTGAACACACGTTGTTCTGCTGAAAGAGCAGGAACGCTTAAATCCTTCCACGAGTTATTAAAAATATCTTAGAAGTTCCACTGCCAGCACCTTCTGGAGTTGTTGCTTAGTTTCCTGAGCCAGTATGAAAAATTCAAATCAGGACAAAATGTGGTTACAGTAGAGACCCCCCCTTCCCCTGCTCTCCTTCCCCCGACACTCAACAACTGGAGCTCGCCCTGCCCTGCCCAGCTGGGGTGCTGGGGGGGGGCAGGCATCATGCTCCAGGCTCAGCTCAGTTCTGTTCCTTCAGTTTGTGTTTCTGTTATTTATAAACTGTACATTTCTCTCTGTGTGTGCGTGTGCGTCCCCGAGCGAGCGCCAGGGAGCCCACCAGCCCGGCCAGTCCCCCCCAACCTGGCCCTGGCCCAGCAATACTGGGGGGCAATCCCAGAGCAAAGCAACCACTATTTCCCCCCCCTCACTTACCCCCAGCGTTTCGTCAGCTGCTCCCTTCTTTTTCTTTATTTCGGTCTTGCGCTTTCTACAGTAAGAGGCTGTTCTAGTGCAAACTCGTCAAAGTGTAAACAAAATGAAAACACACTCAGATTTTTATCTCAATACGAGTCTTAATATTTTTTTTTTTGTAAATGTTTTCAGTGTTTACTGTAACGTATCTATCTCACTAACAGTTGTATATAGTAACTTACTTCTGGTGCTGCTTATTCGGTCAGGATTTGGCTGTTTCTCACTGCTGTTTTGGAGAGGTGGCCTCAAACTTACGAATCTGGAACCAGACCCAGGTTGTGATTTCAGCCTCCTCCCTTTGGAGACCTGAGGGAAGGGGAAGGGAGAGAAGCCTGGGCTCCAGATTTAGGGTTGGTCCACCTCAAGGATTCTGTTTTAAGAGTTTTGATTTGGGGTTTTGTCAAACTGTAGTGACCGCTTGTAAAAAAAAAAAAAAAGAAAAAAAAAGAAAAATCAAAAAATAAGAAGCAACATTTTGTGCGAAGGGGGATGAAACAGACTGACCAGTATCCCAGGGTCTCTGGGACTGCAAGTGTCATCATTTGGGACAGGGATTATGGCTTCAGTGCCAAAGGCCTGGAGGGACCCAAGTCCTTCCCCACGCCAGCTCCTCCTACAGTGTAGTCACCAGCCCCTTTTGCACCAGTTTAAGCAAATCCTGCCGCCATCCAAAGAGTCCTGCGTCACTCGGCATCGTCATTTGAGTCTGGTTGGTTTTTATTTTCTGCTTTTGCAGCTGTAAAGCACTGATTGCACTGTGAGAACACGCTGAATCCTCTGGCCTGGCAGCCCCGTAGGTTGCTGCAGGGTGTGGGACACAGGTTCTGCTACTACAACTACTCCTGGAGGGAGAAGGGACGTGGTGGACCCGAGCGAGGCGTCGCAGGCTCCCCTAGGAAAGCAATCAGCACGTAATCAGTCACTCCCATAGTCAGAGCACTCGTAGGCTTTTCACAGTTACTAATGTCCATACTCAGATGCAATAGAAACCACGCCAGGGTCTGTCCTGTGATGAACAAGGAGAGGAGCTTTAGTCCCAGGAGATGGAAGATGCACTGATGTGTTCAGCAGGACAGGCACGGGGCTCATTCCCCCGCCATCCTGGGGCTGAGGGGTAGCAGCCCCCAGGAGACACCATTCTGACAGCAGCCCCTATGGCCAGTGGTGTCCAGCAGCTCCACCGAGGTCACTGCCCCATCCCTGACATTGAGCTTTGCTGGGAGAGCGCCAAGTAGAAAGTCCAAAGGCAAGACCTGTGACCCTGTCCCCAGGGTGGGTGCCCGGCAGCTTTCCCTCCTTCCACCTGCCATGACTGCCAGGGTCAGCCTTGTCCCCAAAGGTTGGCCTTCAGCCCAAGCCAGGCCTCCAGCCCGGCCAGTTCTAGGACATGGTGTGGGCCACAGTGGCCTCATTGCCACCAGGAGATCCCTTAGCTGGCCCCAGGAAGGGGCACTGCCCATCCCTGACTCTCCGGGGCAATTTGGGTAGAGACTGAGTAGCCACAAGGCTTGGACTTGTGGCACCTGCCCTGCCCTGAGGGCCACCAAGCCCCGTCCTGCCCCTGCAGATAACTGATGCCTTTTTCCTTGGGGAAAATGACCCATGGGGGGTGAGGGAGGACGGCAGCAGCACCCCAACATGCAGCTCATGGGCTTTAGAAACCAAATCCAATCTTTGAGGGCGTTGCACAACATCCAGAAACCACCACGCTTTGGACAATGGCGCCCTGTTCAAGCATTGACCTTCACAGCTCACCCGAGCAGTGACATTGCTGTAAATGCCACATGGTCCTGCATCAGCTCCCGGTACCCAGAGTGCAGTCTCCATCCTCACATATTCCTTTATCATACATCACTGTGTCTTAAGATATACCTCTCTCTGTATATCTGCTTAGGCTGATACTTGTTCCTGATAAGCAGTTGCTATGTTTTATATCCTCTTATAAAGAAAAGCAAATCTTTTTTTGTAAGTATGTTTAAAAACAAAAAGAAGCAAAGTGGAAGTGTTTGCTGAATCTACTTCAGCTCCTTTTAAACTATGTAATAATGTACAGAGAAAGTTGTTGGTGTTTAAAGAAATGATGTGGCCGTGCAATTTATGTACATTTGCAATTAGAAATATTAAAGATTTATTTAGATATTTTACATAAGTGCTCCAGCACCTCTAATGGGTCATTTCCAGTTTCTAGAGCATCTTGGCACACACTTGCCACGTGAACACATGGATGTTTCCAGACAGACCATTTGAAATGCTTCTCACAGCCGCATTTCAGCCATGGCTGACCCCCACCTTCCCATCTGTGCCCATCCCCCAGCCATGGGGAGCACTGGGCACCAGGGGAGACGGGGGACAAGCAGCTCCAAGGGCCCCCAACCCCCAGGACTTGGCCAGGAGCCCCATCCCTGCTTTGGGCACGTTGGCAGCCTGGAGAGGCCAGAAGGAGAAGATGCAGTGGGAGGTACCAGCAAATGGGCTGGAGCCCCTCTGCTGGGAGGGGGGGCTGAGAGAGTTGGGGGGGTTCAATCTGGAGAAGAGAAGGCTCCAGGGAGACCTTAGAGCCCCTTCCAGTCCCTCAAGGGGCTCCAGGAGAGATGGGGAGGGACTCTGGATCAGGGAGGGGAGCCACAGGATGAGGGGCATGTGGGCAGAGTGCCCACTGCTCCTTCCAAACCTTTCTTCTGTTTCACCAGGAAAAGCAGCAGAAAACTTGGAGGAGAGTCATTAAAACCCTGGGCAGCATCAACACTTCTGCCTCATTAACATCACCATAATTAGCTCCTCTGAGAGAGATGGGGGGGAGACAGGCTGGCTGCATCCAAGTGGCTGGGGATGTGGAGAGCACCTGTGGCCACTCCTGTGCCCAGACAGTAGCCCTGCACCTGGGCTGGTCACCGGGCTCTGCTGGCTCCCAGCAGGAACGAGCCAGGCAGGAGAACCTGCTGCTGCTGCTCCAGCCAGGAACACATGGCTGCCCAGGAGTGGAAGGCTAAAACTCTCCCTCTGAGTCCTGAGGGACAGGGCAGAGACTCTCCCATCTCCTGTGTGGGCGAGTCCCATCCATGGGGACATCTGCCCGGGATCAGATCCCCTGGGCCACCACCTCCCGGCCATCTCCAACCCGGGGAAGCCACAGGCTTCCAGCACCTTGGAAACAGGCAAAGGGTCCTGCCCATCACACGACCGAGGGGACCAACAACTGGGGAAATGACAGCATCACGTCAATATTTGTCAAGCTGGGGCCCTGATGGCAAAAAAGTCTTTGTGTTCCAGAGGGAGAGGCAGGGAGGCGCAGAGGAGGCTCACAGCTGGGGACGGCGGGGACAGGAACAGCTAGTTTCTGCTCCTCCAATAATAATCCCCAATCTGTGCTCCTGTCAGACATCCTTCACTCACGGCTTTCCGAGCCCTTCACAAGCAGCAGCTCCCCCCTCCCTCAGCACCATCAGCATCCTTATTTTCACAACCAGGGACAGGCAGTGGAAGTGCAACTTTCCCAAGGCCCCCAGGGAGCCACCCAAGCCAAAAAAGCCCACTTTCCTCCCTCCTGCCTCCCCCCTGCCACCCTCCCAACCCCATCAGCCCCAGCCCCAGAGCACACGTCTCTGGAGAAGCGATTTGGAGCCAGGAAGACACAGCTTCTCCAAAGCCCTGGCCCCAGAGACGGGGGGAGCACGGCCGCTCCCTGCCCGAGAAGTCGATACCGACAGCCAAGCAGAAAGGAAGGGGCTGGGAGAACAAGAGTCATTAGTGGAAACTTGTTGTTTGTGCTAATTAGATCATTATCTGGAAGCTGCTATTGATGTTGCTATTTCAGCTCCTGCTGCTGTTCACAACTTCATTTTACCCCTGTCTCTCGGCTGCCCACGCTCTCCCACGTCCTGCAGAAAGGACCAGCGCCGAGGTGGGATGGAGATGGTGAGATGCTCTGACCTGTCCCACCACAGCAAGAACCAGCCCAGCACCGTGTGGCCACCGCAGCGAGAAGAGGGGAACACGGCCCTTTGTCATTATGAGCCCTGCACTATTATTGATCTTGGAGAGACATCAGATTAGGTTATTATTCTGTTATTAAAAAAGGGAGGTGAGGGGAAGAGAGAGAAAGACTTGGACACCTGGAGGGTTTCTGCCGCTTCCCACCTGCCCGCGAGCCCAGCTCCTCTCACACAAATAACATCGATGCAGCCCCCGCTACGTTATCCCATTTCCCATTTGCTGGTATGAGCCATAATTGAATAACCTCGACCATTTGATTTTTGTACCACGTCACAGAATCACAGAATCATCTAGGCTGGAAGAGACCCTCGGGATCATCAAGTCCAACCATCCACCCTACTCTAAAGTTCTCCCCTACACCATATCCCCCAACACCACATCTAAAGACCACGTCTTCAAGGAATAACAGAGGTCCCAAGCTGATTGATTTATTACAGTCACTATTTTTCCACCTGGAAGGCCCGGTCCCCCACCTCACCACTGAGCCAGGAGAGCTGTTTGCCAGAGGGACGGGAAGACAATGCTGAGGCTCAACACGCAGCTGAGGCTGCAAACTACAGATCAGGGGCGGGGGTTGTGTCTGTCCCTCACATTCCTCTTTTGTAGACAACCATCTCCCATAGATGGGCTGGGAATCTCCTTCCTGGGGAACTCCTGAGCCCAAGGGCTGGCCACACGCTCCCCGGCCCATGAGGATGGTGACGAGAGGGACAGAGCACTGAGCCCTCCTGGATCCCTCACTTTGTGCAGCCAGAATCAGCCACCCCCAAGAACTCAGGCTCGCTCCATATGGGACCAGTGGCCAGGAATGGGAACACTGGGAAGGGCCGGCACCCGGCCGTCCCTCCCTGGGGAGGTGTGGATCCCACCAGAGTCCCCTCGCTGGGCTCTGCTTAGAATATCAACATCCCCGCCACACTGCGAAATAGAAACGCATTCAAATAAATCACCTCAAACTTAAGAAGATGCCATTAGCTATTAGCAAACACTCCAGGCCTATGGGTGAAGGTAATTCAATATGATATGCTTGGGCATGCGAGGTAATGGGTTTCAGCTGAACACCATGTGATACAATCTCTTCAATGGGAGGTTAAATGAGGCTGAGACAGAGACCAGATGGATTTATCTGGGTAGTGCTGCTGATGATTTTTTTTTTTTTTTTGAGCGTGCTTAAGGTGAAGTGAAGGTAAGTAATGCAGAAATAATCCGAGAGAGAAGCAGGAGCTCTGCTGTACGTGGCTGGGGCAGGGTGAGCAGGAGGCTCAGGACCTCATCCCACCAGAACAGCCCAAGGGAGCAGCAGGATGCTCACGTGCAGCGCTCATGGAAACAGGCACAAAGAAATACTTCATCCATTTCACCCGATGGAGGAACAACCAGAGGGCTGAGCAGAGACCGGGGGCAGATGTAGACACCTAACCTCTGAGATTCCTGCAGGATTTAGGAGCCCAAACACCATCTCTCCTCCACCCAGGACCTCTGCAGCACATGAAGGAACTGAATCGGTCCCGTGTCCAGCCCCAGCGATGCTCCCTCTCTCTGGGACCATTGTAACCCTCACCAAGGCAGGGAGGTTTGTCCCACCACCTTCAAAATTGCACAAGAGTTGTGCAACGTGACCCCCTGAAACTGGGTGTCCCCCCCAGCAGCCACCTCCTCCAGGAGCTGTGGGGCAGCACCGCTGACACAACCCAGAGGGCCTGAGGAAAGCATCCCAGCTGGGGAGCCTGGTCCACAGCACAGCATCCCCACAGCCCGTGCCCTTCAACAGCCTCTGCTGCCCTGAGTGCCCAGTCCAGGCAGGCAAGAGGTTAAAACGAAATGTTTTCAGGAAAAAAAGGAGGTTTAGGATACCCAAAAAAATCCCAATCCAGATTTTCCCACCAGATTTCAGCTGGTCATGTGAAACTTGAGTCAAAACACACTTTTTGCTCAATTTGCTAAAGTTTTCACTTAGAGATGCTGAAGAACAGATTATCAGTGCTTGGATTTGTGGGTCTTTGGTTGAAAACACCAAACATCATCATTGTAAACCAGAAATTTCCCACGGGAGGTTTTTTCCTTACAATGCAGCTACTCATCATGGATCTTTGCTGTTAAAACCAAAAACCAAACTTGTCTTAAAGCTCTGAGTCATTAGTCAGAAGCTCAGTGTAGAAAGGGAACTGGCTTTAACGGTTATTAAATAAGGTTCAATTGTACTTTGTGTTATTTATTTGGACTAATAGCAGGGTCATTTTGTTGTAACCCCCTACGATCCAGGGATTATTCCTGTTCCAGCAGTGAGGAGCACGACTGTCTGTGTCACACGGAGCTGAGGGATCAGGGGCTGCTGATGGGCAGATGAGCTGTTTTTAAGCAAAGGGACAATGCCCCAAAAATGTCCCTTTTAACACCGCGCTGATGCCAATTTCCCCGTTTTTGGGAAGAAGGGCAATGATAGTATAAGTTAAACACAACACTTGACCACATCTAACAGACAGTTGGTTTCCTGGCCCCATGAGGTGCAGGGCCCTGGCAGAATGAGGGCAAGCACTGGACCAGGAGCCTCCCCCACCCCGGGGCTGGGCAGGAGGGGACGATGCTCTGGCACTTGGCAAAGCCTCTTCCCAGCATCTCCTCCTCCAGGCTGCCAAAGCCTGAACGAAGGTCCTCGATTCAGAGCTCAGCGTTCAAGTAAATGAGCTCATTCTTGCAAACAAAAGCAATTCTCTACGAAGAGAGGGGTGGCACGTGGCTGACACTTACTGTAGATCACCAGATGACAGCACGTTCATCAAAGAATTTTAATTGTCAAAGCCGATCACAGTTTTTTCTCCCTTATAATTCAGCAGCAGATGCAAGATTGGACAAGGGCTGTTATGGAAAAAAGTAGATGGCGATAAATAAAGTTTAAATTAAACTCCTTGAAATGCAGTGGTGCTGGGCAGACACCAGCAGAGGATTTATGGGGCCACATCTGGCTGAGAGGCTTTAATAGCTCCTGTGCAGCACCTGCATTCTCAGGAGCACAACGTGCCCACTGCGGGTGTGCGGGGGGGGGACAATCACCCCTGGGCCTGTGGCACAGAACTGGTGCCACTGCTCCAGCAGGGACCGACGGAAAAATGAGGCTCCTGATGGGAGAGAAACTGATGACACAAAGAAATCTCAGCGGTGGGCTGAAGATGGAGATAGAGCCAGATCAGACAAGTGAACATCCCTCTCCTCCGCTCAGAGCCAGGCAAACCCAACGCTGTACGTTTCTGTCAGTGGGATCTGTACATACACCCCTCCTAACATGAAAGCTAGAAACCATCTGAGGCTCTGAACAAGCTCATTTCTCCTTTGGTAATGGTATTCAAAGACCAAACAGTGCTGCTGCTGTCCAGGCGCGTCCATCTTACTGCCAGGAGTGCCCTCCCCAAGCACTGTAGATGTTCCTGAGCCTCTAGATTACGCCAGTAACCTCAGGGAGAAGAGATGGGCACAGAAAAGAGCAGCCAAAACCACAGCAAACCAATGCTAAATGCCTTGGCCCTGCTCCTCTATCCCCTGGCTAACGCTGGGGTGTCCTACATCCCTGCACACTCATGGTCTGCGGCTGCTGCAGCCTCTGCGGTGGGTAAAGTGTCTCAGAGGGAACTGTGCTCCCCTTCCTCCTCCTCCAACTCCAAGCCAAGAGAAAAGGGGAATAAGTATCTCTCCTCTCCCCCACAAAAACACGTTTGAAAGCCGGGACAGGCAACAAGACCAGTAACTGAGCAGCAGAACTGCCAGACACGGGCACAAAGACAGGCAGTGACATCGCTCACAGTTTTTTGGACAGGTTTCTAATTACTGAGCACACTCGAGTGCTCACTGCAGAGCCCCGGTGTGCCCACAGCAGAGGTGCCTCAGCAGCCAGGCCAGCCAGGTCTCTGGGAGGAGGTGACAGATACACAGACAGAGCCATTACCTGGGAAAAGCGATGCTCAGCTCATGTTTGGAGCCGTGGGCTCCTGCCCCAGTGGGCACCAAAGGGCCCTCACAGCACCCGAGGAGGAGCAGCCCCATGCCCACGCAGGCAGCAGTGTCTCTGCCAGGGCTGCAGCAGCGTGGCCCAGCACCAAGCCTGGGTGAGTTTACCAGCGTGTGGAGCATCACCTGGGCTTTTCCAAGAGTTAAATCAGCAGGTGAATAACTCACACAGCGGGAGGGCAAAGCAGGATGGAGCATCAGGCCACGCAGCACCAGTCAGGGGGCAGCCACACGCTCCCTTTCCGTCGGGGATGGGGAGTAACAGAGTCCTTGCCCTCCGGTGCAGTGGGAGGTATCATCAGGAGCACTCCACACTTCAACAGTCCCAGGCCATACAAAGGAACATCTCAGTCCCACCAGGTCTAAGACAGAACCACTAACACAAAGAGAGGACAAAGCCCATGAGCTGAGCTGCAGAGTCAGAGCAGCCCTGGTGTCCCCAGCTCGCCCACAGCTCCCTCCTCATCATTCATTAAGCGCAGGTAACACAGACTAAGGTCACCCAGCACAGACCTGTTTGCCCGTCACAGGAACTGGAACAGCCCCAGAACCCGTTTGGACAATGGCAGACACCAGCACATCCACCCACAGACCCACGAGGCTGAAGGTGACGGGTGGTGAAAAGCAGCCAGGGGTGGCACAAGGTGTGGGGACACACAGGGACAAGGGAACGGGGCACAGAACGAGCTGAGCTCCGGACACCCTGGCCATGGAGCCGGGCTGCCCAGGGAGCTCCAGGTCCTCAGACAAAACCTCCTGCAGAGAAACCCTCTCCAGAACCCATAACATCAATGAGCACCACAGAGTTCAATAATTCAACTTCTTGATAATAGCAAAAGAACCCCCAGGATTAGGAAAGGGAAGGGGAGAGAGTTCAGTTCTCCCCTCCTTCATCGTGACAATAAGGGAGGGAAAAATAGGAAGATAAAAGGGAAAAGCAGAGGTAGAAGTGAAAGGTGAAAGGCAGAAGTTAAAAGCTGGCGAGAACAAGAGTCTCAAGGAAAATAAATGAAGTTCTTTGATTAAAACACAGAGGGCAACGGGTGAGCAGAGGGGAGGAAAGGAAAAAAATCCCTTTTCTAAAGATGTGTTTATGTTCCATAAAGATCACTCTCTGTTCCAGCTCCCTGTGACCCTTCCTGCCCCTGCTCCCACCCCACTGCTGGGGAGCCACCAGACCCGGCTGCTCCATCACCACGTCTCCACCAGGGCCAGCACAACCTGCCCAGGGCTTCTCACTGGTGCAGGAGAGAGAACAACAACAATATTTATAAGTAGCTACTGGATTTGGGTCTGTTTAATAGCAACTGAACAATATTAGCAAAGCCAATGACAAGCACAGCCCTGACTTGGAGCCCTTGTGAGGAGCTCACAATGGAGAGGACCCACACGCTGAAGCCACCACACCATCCTCATCATGTCCCCACCGTGCCATCCCCAATGCACTGTCCTCACTGTGTCCCCACCACGTCCCCACATTGCAGGTGAGGCCACACACAGTTCCCTGCTGCTGCTGGAAGTTTTGATCGACCTCTGCAGAGGATGGAGATCAGAGCTGGAAAACAACCCACAATCCAGACCAGATGTACCAATTACTTCAACTCGTTTCCCTGTTTCAAATTAACGACCTGCACAGCAGCACCACAGCTCGCTCCCGAGCTGCTCATGGGCTTTTGACCAAGTGGGAAGGTTCTGGAAGCACCAGGCTCCAGTGGGAACAGGGAGCTGGGCAGGGATGGCCATGGATGTCCCCAGCAGCAGGGCTGGGGAGAGGGGCTGGAGGGCCATCAATCACCCGACAGGGCTGTGGGGATCAGTCCTCCACCCACACACGGGGAAAAGCTCCAACCAATGTGTGGACTCAGCAAGGGCTGGTGCACAGAAACACCTCGAAGAGAGGACACGGGACAGATTCACCTCAAAATGAAGACAGGCGTCTTCCAAAAACAGTCCTACAGCAGCAGAGGGAGCTGCACCGCCGGACTCAGCCACAGTGACTTTACTAGGCAAACAGAAGTGGGGAATTAGGAGGAAACACAGCAAAGCATGGTGGAAGAGAAAACAAATTAGGGGGAAGGGAGTAATATTTAGCAGCAGGTTGTCACTGTCCATCAGGGAGCGATTAGGGTAAAGTCAGACCTGCCTGGAAACAAGGAGCTGTGACGGTGACGATGGAAGTCACTCATAGCAAGTGCACCAGAGACCAGGCACCATCCAGGTAGGACCCAGCTGGCAGCTCCCCCTACAACCTCAGCACAGCCCTTGGGAGCTCCCACATCCCACACTGCGGGAGCAATGCCCTTCTCACACCCCAAATTCACCACAGAGGCTGCACCCCCTTCCCACCCCAGCACCCAGAGCGCGAGGACCTGCACCTACCCTGTCCGGTGAGCTGCTCCAGAGAGACCAGGACCTCCTCCTCACCACCAGCATTCCCAAACTGCCACCACTTGTCTCCAGGAAGAATGCCTTGACCTCCTAACGATGGGCTGAAAACAATTGTAATGCAGCCAGAAGGGTAAATTGGAGTCACCTGTGCAGCAGCAGGGTGTGACCTCCAGCTGAGACCATGAACACTGGAGCTGGTGGACTTGGGTCTCTCACCTGGGCATCAATCAGGTAATTAGCCAAGTCCCTCCCATCCCAGCTGCGCTTTAAATGTGGCCACAGGTGTGTGGCAAGTGCAGCAACCTGCTTAGTGCACAGTAAATGTCCCCAAATCACAGGGCTGTAACAGGGGCAAGTTGGGCATTTGGGCTGAGGGTGGTAAGTGCCAAGAGCCCGATCCAGATTAGGCAGAAGACAAGTTTCCAGTGACTTTGCCTACAAACAGCTCTGTGCAGAGAAAGGACTCAAAACAGCACAAGGAGTTGCTGAATTTAGGCCCATTTGGGCTAGACGGGAGCCTGCAGGGAAGGGGGGTGTCTGCATTGAAATTCTGGACTCACTTGTCCCAAATCTTCCTCAGCTGTTGAAGTGGTTTACTCTGATTTATGCCCTGTGAGGAAGACCAGACCCCATGTGTCTGATAACAAGAAAGATTGTGCTGATACACCATGTTCACACTGTACATGCCATAACTGGAGAGCTGCATTGCTCTCTGAAAAAGATATATAGAAAGAGCTATTAAAAAACAAACACCTACTGCCTTTCATATATTGTTTCTTCTGCTAAAAAGGTATCTCAGGACTAGCAGATTATCACTGCATTAGCATTCATATTCTGAATAAAGTGTTTCTGGTCATTTTTTTGCATGTGCACAGACTGGTAACTTAAAGGCTACGTGCAATTGCTTTGGATGCTAAACAGCATTCAGAGGAAATTGCATTAGATGGCAGGGAAGAGAAATGTGACTTTGTCATTAAGTCCCTAAAGTACACTCCCGTTTTATCCCCCTCCTCCCCCTGAGAGTAAGACGGTATTCAATTTTCCAATTATATAAATACACGAACACTGGATTACTAGAGGCAAAAAATTGAATATTTTGACTGTTCTACAAGGGACCCCTCATATCTGAAGTGGGAGATAAACAGGGGACACTGCATCAGCCTGTGCACACACAGGCTATAAAAATCTGCATTCGATCCAGAGACTATATCAAGATCTCCAAAACAGAGAGAGATCTTACCAGTGTTCATTAGATACAGCAGTTAATTTATTCCATTGATATCAGGGTAGCTTACACAATAGTAAAACCTGGGTATTTTAGGCCACAGATTGTACTACTTGAAAGCTTTAAGGAGAGACATTCGCAGCTGTAGCATTTCAAACCGACTCTTCTGTAACTCTGTCTTCAGAGGACATCCATCACCGGAGGAGGAACTGTAAGCTATTTTCTAGTAACACGCTGCCAATCGCAAGACAAATGTCAGATGTCACAAAAGGAGAAGTAACCATTTTTCAACTTGTGAATGTCTTCAAATGTATTACAATGAAAGTGTGAAAAAAATGACCCTTTCAGCTTCATTGGTTCTGACAGATGCCAGACCTTGGAGTTTGGCATTTTATCTTCATACTGCAATAATCTTTATGAAACTTAAACAAGGCTGAGGGCAGCGGCATTAGTCTACAACTGTCCTCTTATGTACAATACATAACATTTCCAACAGTCCAGCTGCTGAACTACAAAAGATCATCTACTACTCTTATTGGGGTTACAGAAGACACAGAGGAGAAGAGATGCCCACGTCTGATATTAACACATGCTGGGTATTAGTTTCTCGTGGGCTCCACGTGCTTTCTGCGTTGTATTGCCATGCTCAGTGCCGCTTAGGAACAATGCATGCTGCTCAAAACTAACACAGGAAAAGAAACTCAAAACTTCTCCCAAAGTAAAAACTCACTCAATGCCAGGTGTGTATTGAGTCCGTGACATTAAACGGGTGGGCTCCCTCTGCACCTTCCCTTAAGGTCCTGTTTCTGATGGACCAGCCATGGGAACACATCGGTATTTTCTCCACCCCGAAGCTCAATGCCCGGAGGCTGCACCGTCCCACAGCTTGGCAGGTTTGGGCAGCATGAAGAACACCAGCACAAAACTAGATTCATCAACATTCAGGAGTAGAACAAAGGAGGAAAATCAAATTCAGATGCAGACATACATTATTGCAATAAAACATGAGACCCAAAAGAATTTGACTGAACGGCCCTGAAGTTCCAAGTTTTTCGTGTCCTTTCAGCCAGTCCCCGCAGGAGGAGTGGGATCATGGAAGTCTTGAAAAATAAAGACTGCTCTGCACAGCTCCAGAGGGACGGTCCAGCATTCTTGACAAAATACCCTGTTAAACAGTCTAGATCTAATTTGTACAAAGTTATACTGTTATTTAAGGGAAAAATGAAGAATATGTGCCAAGACAAACAAATCTGCTCTAGATGTTATTCCAGGTGCAAATAAGGTAACAAACACGCAAAAGGCAAAAAATAAACAAACCTAGAACAGAATTAATTTAGCCTAAAGTCAGTGACAGGATCAGTTTCACTGGAATTTAAATGAACTCTTAGACCTTTACACTGTAAAGCTTTTTTCAGCAGCAGTGCTTGGTACCTGAAGACAAAACCACTACTTGATTGACCAAATTTGACTAAAAGAAGCAATTTTTTTCTGTAAATAAGTGTCAGCTTATTGGTTCTGTGGAAGCAAAAGGATAAACACCTGTATTTTTTCCTTAAAAAATTAACAGTACTTGTCATGGCAAAGACATGTACAAAGAAGCAGAAGTCAAAATACGATTTCAGTGTTTTAAGACTGACTAAAAAATAAGTACATAGACAGTGACCAAATCTGTATCGATTCCAACATGTACAGTCCAAGCCATGGGAAGAAGAGGGTCAAAGCCTGAAGTTTGACCATGAACGTAATTCCAGGGTTCAGTTTTCCACAGTCCACAACTGGTATTTGGGACCAGAGCTCCTCACTTGGTTTCCATGGTACATCCAGTGCATACAAAGCAATGTAATTCCTGTAACTGGGAGCGTGCCCCTCAGTGCACCAGTGCAACCAGTCCTGTCATGCTGGTTATCGTCCCACTGGATTTTGGTCCTTGTCTCACACATGGTTTTCTACACAGTCAGGACAAAAGCACAGTTTGCCACATGAGGCATACAGTAGGTCCGACAGAGAGGTAAATAAATAGCCATTCCTGGGGTCATTACTGGTGAATGGGAGCTTGCAGGAGACTTTTTGAAAAGCAGAAATTAAAAAAGCTGAAATAAATAGTTGTGACCATCAGATGAAGGAATTCAAGAGTCTGTCCCCTCCTGCAGTACACGTACATACCTGGGGATTAATTCTCAGTTCTGTCCTGGTGAACTAGCACCGTTAATAGCGATGATTTCGATAATCTGCAAATTTACCAGCTGCGGCCGTGCGACCCAGGAGGGGGTTGTGTGCAGGTGGTGTGAGGTGAAGTCCATCTGTCTGACCAGGAGCTCCTGCACTTCGTCGTTCCACGACCCCCCGGCCACAAACCAGGCGCTTTTCATCCAGGGCAGCCAGATGATCCTCACAAAAATCGATCAGCGAGGCCACTTGCTCGTGAAGTGGGAGGGACTTGTATTTCTTCTGAGCCAGGCAGAAGAAAGCTTCGACGAAGGCTTGCAAACACATCCCTGCAAGGAAAAGGTTTTTATAGGAGATTCAGAGCTCAGCGTTCTCTGGCAAACTACATTGAAAAAAAATTGCCTGTCCTTCAAAAACCAAAAGACAAGGATTTGTTTGTATGTAACACGCGGCGTTTCAGCAGAGGGGAAGCCCAGGCTGGGTTACAGATGGGTGACACTCTCTGTCACTGAGGCTGTTTCTGGTTTCACAGCCAGCAGACCCCAGCAGCCCAGCATCCAGAGGCAAACCGGGACAGCAACACCTGATTTTAAGACGTTGTTCAATTAAATTGGTGTAATATCAGCCTTGATTTCTGCTGCCTCAAATATTAAATTGAAACAGAATCAGACACACAGTAACATATTGAGCTTCAAGGAAAACAATCCACCTGGAGAGAAAAACGAGTTTATATCGGCACCTGAACAGGGTCATTTAAACCTTGTATTTTTAGAGATGGACCTAAAACTAAAGTTCAAATGTAGACCTACTGAAACAATATGGCATTTGGGTCCATAACACTGTAAAGATAACCCCATTGCCAGGTATCACCTTATCGCAGAAGTGAGTTTATTTGAAGTGTTGTTTTCCTTCTGCAAGGGCTGTCCTAGGTCTGAATCCTCAGCCTGCCTTGGGAAAGCAAAGAGGCCATTTTTCAGCCAAACCCAGCAACTCTACACTCGTTTTATTTCAACTGAATGAAAAAAAGGTGAAGTGTGTGCTTTAAACGGCTCTCCCAGTTCGAACGTACAGTTAAGACGATTATTTTAGGATGAGACATTGAAAGATTTGGGGTCTTTAACTTAACGTTGGCTTAGCGATGCTGCAGAAAAGGCACCTTTTCAAAATGTTACAATTACATTCTGAAGTATAATTTCTCTCAACTATGGCTGCAGCTGGGCTCACTTACGGTCTCGGCAGCGAAACAGCTTGCAAAGGAATTGCTGGGTTATCTGGGAGCAGCAGCTGCCAGCTCCATGAATTATTTTATCCGTCACGGCGAGCTGCAGGCAGGGAGAGCACCTTGGGTAGCGCACGCGCTTTCTCCCCCGTAAGTGACACTCGTGTGAAGCATTTAATGAAAAAAAAAAAAAGTCAGAAGCTGCTGTTTTACAGCAGCAGCAATAGCAACTGCATGGGTTACAGCCAGGAGCAGGGCAAAGGCAAAGCCCACGGAAAAGGTTGAGTATTTTGTGGTTTAACACCTAGAAAACATTTGGTTCATCTTATCTGAATTCATATAGACAAACTCTACAGGATATTATAGCATCCATATGTTCAAGCAAGACAAAAGTCTACTTATCTATTTCAGGCAAATATAAGCCTCATTAACATTTCTGAGGCATGTTCAAATATTAAAAAAAAGAGGTTACATACAAATAAATTTACTGCTGTCGTAACCGGACCACGCTCTCACAAATTATTTTGTGTACCACTGAGGTTCTTGCTGTTTAGGCAGGAGGGAGCTACAGATGTATTTTAGGGAGGTGGGATAACAAATACAGAAGTCAGTCTCAACTTGGGAGACTTTTGATTCTTACGCTATTTTGGCATTTTTTAAAAAAAGCTGCAGGAGTATACACATTGATATCCATGTTCAGCTTTTATATAAAAATATATTTTGACCTGATTTCTGGGAAGGTGCCAGCCTGCAGCTCTCTGACCAGCAAGGTAGTTTATACCACATGGATTTCTTAATCCCACTCTGATTTAAACGTGTCAATCCTCCTCGATGGCAACAAGGAACAGAATATTTCAAGAATACTCTGACTGCTGTTTCCCTGCTATAAATGGCTCCAAAACGTGTCAGGAACCATTTTTGTTGTTGTTATAGAAATATTAGGACAATTGAAATTATTCAATATTTTACAAAAGCTACAGAAAAGCTGCCAAATTTATGGACTCAATTTCATATAGAAATGTAATAGCAATTTTAGAAATTAAGTTATATATTAAATAGTGTATTTAGGCCATTAATATAACAAGAAAATAATCCCTGAACTCGGCTATTTGATAGATTACTGTCTCAGATCTAAAAATGTGACCAAAGCAGATGGGGAGGTAACTCACTACTGACGGCGAGGCTGGCTGGTTGTTTCTCTAGCAAATTACACAAGGTTTTTTTCATTTTCAATAGGTTTTCTTCATAAATGTCAATTGCAGAGGGCTTGCAGAAGACTTGTTCCAATAAATCAATTGAAAGCTAAGAGTGATCAAGTCTATAGATAAAGGGAAATTGCCATGGAACTAAACAGAATAATTTGCTGTACGTGTATGTGCCTCAGATGTCTCTACCTTGTTCCCATTATTTTTACAGAAGGTTTGAGGTGTGTGTGAGCTAGCAAACCTACAAAAAACCCCAGCTTCCACAGTCTTCAAATACAAAATAGCATTACCTGATTCCTTGTGGTCGATTCCCATGCTGTTCCACCTCCTTGTGATATCAATATATAAGATATCTACAGACGCCATGGAAAAATTGCTGTTACTCAGTTTGCAGTTTCTGTTAAAAACAGATGAAATAAAGAAAAACTTCTGATTATGTCCAAAATTCCAAGCTAGGACAAATTCTGCAAGAGCAACTGAGAGAACATTGGAAAAAAGTTTACCCCTGTCATATGTACACAGCCACTGTAACGTGCTTAGTCTAATACATACAGCAGATGGCAAAGAAAGCAATGTTTATTCAGTGTCTGTATATGAAATGGTGAAGGCCCTGAATTTTTCAGATCTCCTGTGTGTCCCTGTTCTGATGATGCCAGCACCGCCTGTGCCAGAAGCGGCTCCGGGCGGGAGTGACCTGCTCTGATGCATCTAAATCCGATTTGCACGTGCAATCTCATGTCAATCGCTGGCCACAAAAAGGCAGTGGGTCACATTAGAGATTAACTGGCTTATTTGGGGCTTGCAACAAAGAAGAAAAGGACAGGACAGGACAGGAAAAAGGAAAGGAGAGGAAAAGGGAAGAGGAAAAAGGGAAAAGGGAAGAGGGAAAAGGGAAAAGGGAAAAGGGAAAAGGGAAGAGGGAAGAGGGAAGAGGGAAGAGGGAAGAGGGAAGAGGGAAGAGGGAAGAGGGAAGAGGGAAGAGGGAAGAGGGAAGAGGGAAGAGGGAAGAGGGAAGAGGGAAGAGGGAAGAGGGAAGAGGGAAGAGGGAAGAGGGAAGAGGGAAGAGGGAAGAGGGAAGAGGGAAGAGGGAAGAGGGAAGAGGGAAGAGGGAAGAGGGAAGAGGGAAGAGGGAAGAGGGAAAAGGGAAGAGGGAAAAGGGAAGAGGGAAAAGGGAAGAGGGAAAAGGGAAGAGGGAAAAGGGAAGAGGGAAAAGGGAAAAGTAGAAAACCCTGAATATGTCAATTAAATATACGAGTTGACTGTTACACCCAGCTTTCTCCCAGGGTATGACCTGCACTTTTTGAGGCCATAACAGAATGGAATAAACTGGGATGCTGGGAAACCCAACACCAATTTGCACAGAGTATCTACATGAGGCAGAGTTTGTACAGAGGAATACTCTTCTATTTGACTGACTGGTCCTGTTTGAAAAGGGCTGGAGGAAAGCTCTCAGGCAGAGAATGACTTCTTCGTGCCTGAGCACTGAACAGATTTCCCCTCTGCGTCGCTGAACGCTCCTGGAAAACAGCAGCATCTCTGGATGCATCTCGGGTGCTGGGTGATAAGCACATGGAGGAGATCTGAGAGTTGTGTGGGCTGAGCCCGTGGTGGAGCCTTGATCAGCAGAGGACAATGAGCTGCCTGTCCAGCACCGCCAGATGTCTGGCAGCCTGGCTGGAACCAGTGCCCGTGCCAAAGAGCTGGCCAAAATTTCTAGCCAGAAAAGAAAAAAAACCACCCCAAACCCAACTACACAAAACCCAACAACAACAACAAAAAAACCCTGGATAATTTAAAAGAATCTGACTCTCTAGGAGCCCAAGCAGAGCTCCCTTAAAAGTTAAGGTCTGGCCTAGATAGTCCCCCAAAAATCTCAGGCTGCATCCAAGCAAGGACCAGAGCCACATTCAGCATTTCCCTCTTAGTTATGTTTCAGAATGAAGACATTAGTGAAGGGAAACAGATTTTGATTAGTTAAAATTGAGTGGTTAGCCTTGGCAACCACTTGCCCACACGTGCACACACACACATCACACTTGTGCACTATTTTATTCTTGAAAAGCCATACAGCACTCATCTTAGAAACACGAGCTTATTTCTGAAATGAGAGGTAACAACAGCATTTCAGAAAAGGGCCATATAGTTGGCATAGATCCTCTGGGAATAAATAAAAAAAAATATTTGCCAATATTACAAAGTTTAATTTAACACGCATTAGGAAACTGCAAACACTATTTCATTGAGATATGGCAACTTATTTTAATAGTCTTAAAAGACAATGTTGGCATTTATTCTGTGTTCCTCCAACAAGTGCCAATTTAAGGCTGGACTAAACAATAGAAAATAGAGAACTGGAAACAATCCTGTACTGGTCTGTGGATAGAGCAGATGCCTTCAGCCGTTTTCTATATATTGTAATTTGTATAAATCAAATTGTTATATTCATTCCTGAATGCTAAATGCATCTGCATAGAAACAGGATCTGTATTTTAAGAGTACATCTGCTGCTGCTGCTTATTTCTTTTGTCATTGTCAATGAAAGACAGAAAATGAGATATTTGTACCATGACTAGAACAGATATATCCGTAAAAAACAATGAAAAAAAAAAACCCTCACAAATAAAAAGTATGTGAAAAAAAAATAAATTGAGTTCCTTGCCATTGCGAGTTGCAATTTCAGGATGCAAATCCTGGGTGCACAGCACGTCAGGAACTGGCATTTGGCAATGCTTTCCTGTGGCCCGGGGCAGGCAGCTCTGCCCCCCCCAGCACATTCAGGTCTCAAGTGACCCAATTCTGGCTGTCACTTTGCACAATGGCATTCCTACCATTTACTAGGAACGTGACATGTTGACTGGGACCACAAATAGTATCTCCCAAAGTATTACTGATCTGCTGTAGAATAAAGAGCCAGGTTCCTATTAGACACAGTTTCATAGGTCGGGTATGCTGGGAGCTTGGAATGAGAAAAATATATCTATTTTATAAAAAAATACTCAATGTTTCAATGGAACTTATGGGGAAAAGGTTCTTTAGAAGGCATTACCAAACCTAGAAGCTAAAAGTGAGCCCCTGCTAGGGCCTGCCTTTATTCAATGTAAGTTGAGATAAGCGCAGGGACACCAGCGGTGCCCCAGGGGATCAGAGTTTTGAAGCAATTCCTAAGAAATCTTCACTTTACTCACCTTATAAATGTTCGGAAACCCGTTGGCCCCAACTTTGTTGTCCCTTTCACACCAAGAAATCGGATAAACAGGGCGGCCACCCTGTCCACGAGGCGCAGGTAGTTAAACTGCTTGGCGTACTTGGGGAAGACTTGTTTGAGGCAGAGGGAGGGGAGCCCGGCCTCGGGACCCCGGCTGCCCTCACACTCCCCTCCGTCGCCTGCTCCTGCCTCCAGAGCCTCTTCCTTTGCCTCTGACCCCTGCTCCAAGGTCTGACACCTGCAACACACCAAATAATTGTGTCTTATGTTAGCCTTATTCTTACAAGATTCCACACACCGTCTTTCTGAATCTCTAAAAATTATTTATGAGATCTTTAGAATAATGAAAAATCAAGAACAAATACTTTAAGGTTCCCTTAAAGCAGAAATCGTGTTATAGAGTATCTAAAAGGACAACAAGCAGACCATTCTCTGATGCCACAAAACCACCTATAAATACAATTAACAAAGAGATGCCGCACCATTACCAGGTTAATTGTGAGGTACCATTAACTCAGAACTCCCCTTATCATGACCAGAGCCGAGCACAATCAATTCTTCTGTACATCTTAATTTTATTTTGTTTTTACTAAATCTCCCCTTTATTAAAATGTTGGGTTTACCACCATAGAAATTGTTTTTCTCAATGCAGATTCATTGTGATGCTGTAGAATATCCATTTCCCTTTCAATAGCTCTTTACAACTCACAAAAGGTAATTTTGTGAGTGAATTCTGCACAGGCAAGGAGACACCAGGGAGTAACTGCATGTTGGTGTTATCAGCATCAAACAAATACAGGTATGTAGAAAAGAAGATGAGTTTCATGAAATTTCATGGAATATTTCATGGGAAATGCTTAGAGACTATAAAATCTAATGATATTTAAACTTATTTTCCAATAATGATTAGAAGTTCTTACCTTCCCTGATAAATAAGATACAAAAAGTACAGTAAGATCTATTTGCAAAGAAGAAATGGTAACAATACATTCAGAAATGATACAGTTCACAGAAAGGCACCCAGGCACTATTCAGAAGACAATTTCTGGGCAATCCCATTATTTTTTCTCTGTGCATACTGTCAAAATAAATTATTCCATCTTCATTGTCATTGCCAAATTCCCTAAATAATGCTGATCGAGATAATCATGTTCCAAAATAAGTGTTACATATTTATTCAGCCTGACTTTTTTTTTTTACATTTTTCCTGCGTTTGACATATCTAGATAAAATTCAAGATTGTTTTTCTCCCAAGTTCAGAAAGCCTGAGAGCTGAAGGTAATTATTTGGCACGCACTAAGCATTTACAGGTTTTCATTTTCTTTCCAGTCATTTTTCTAAGTACCTGTCATCAAGAATAAGTATAATTCATACAAGGTACTTTAAAAATTAGTGCTTTTATTACACTGATCTTTTGTGTTCCTGAGCAGATTTAGTGTCCTTCAGGAAATTCTGTTCTAGCAGAGAATAACAATCACCATAGTCATTATCCTCCCACAGCACTGTAAAAATTATTAAGTCAAATCCACAGTAAATCTGGACCTTCCGACTGGGATTCCAAAAGGCAGCAGATTTCCTTAGCCCTCGTACCACCATCTCCTGCACCAAACCCTGTTCCTTCAGAGGAACTTTGAAAGCCAGCAGTTGTTGCAATGGTTTTTTGGGAAGAGCACCCAAGTTCAGCCTCTTTTGGTGCTTGAGAACTCGTAAGTGCCAAGGCATCGCTGCTCAAGGGGGGTCGCCCTGCGAGTCACAAAGCATCTCTTTGTCTAAGAACATTGCTCCAAAATTTCAAAATAATGGGACTTCTTTTGTATCCACACTTGCATTCACTGATGTTGAATGTTTATAAATGTGATCACTCCTGAGATAAAAGTCCTTAAAAACAAATACAGATCTTATGCAGCACTTTGATAACTTTCCTCTTGGCTCCAGCTAGCAAAGTAGAAAAATAATGTTATTCTTTTCATTAGTTAAGTAAAGCTTAAAGTAATAAATTATTAGTTTTGGTTTTCCTCATGTAAGATTGGATGGTGGTTTCACCACCATCAAATACCCTAAGGCTGCCAAAAGAGCGAGAGTACCTACAGCCGAGAAACAATAAGCATTCAGGCTTCTATTTTTAATCTTAAAAGGTCTGTTCATGAATTTAAAAATTCAAATCTTCAGCCAGTTGAACTAGACCTTGACCAAATGCGAAACCTTGTGCTCAGTGAGAGAGAAGGTTGTGCTGTTTGTAACATAACTCTTGTTTTAATGATGCCTGGAAGCCCTGAACCCTTTCTGATTCTAAATTCAAGAGTCTTTTTGGATTGTACATTACTCATTCATCATTCATGTGTTCAGTTATAAAAATATAAAGCTTTACTTTAAAAGATGCAAGCAATCACGATTTGTTTTCACTCTTCAGCTTCCCCCCCCTAAGATTTCCTTAGGTTTCCTTTTCTAATGCAAAAGATCTTAATTAATTTGATTATATAACGTGACTCAAAGTGAAAATCATATTTTGCATTTTAATAAAAGCAAGACTTTCCAAAACCAATCTGCACAAGAGCTTGTAAAACAGAAATGATCCATAGACTTGTCTATTCCACATGCTCACCTTAACTGCAAGCGTTCACACTCACTCTGTTCAGAGCATAATTCTCCGCTGCTGCCCCAGACAGCACTTCAATAAAAGTTTATTTTCTGTAGATCTACTCAACACACTTGTGTGCCCCCCTACAAGTGGTCTCAACACAACTAATTAAGAGGAACTGCCGAGCTAGGTATATTACAGCCAGCCTTGGTGTCTATAAAAATGGAATTTTACTGTGATCTGCACATTTTTGCAAGGAAACGCTGCACACCATATTTTTCGCCCCGGCGCCCGATGAATTCCGCTCGCTGGCGATGCGCCGTTTTCCTCTGTGTCTCGCTGCCATCTGCCACGGCCAGACCCCACGGGCCAGGGGATGGCACAACTCCCCAAGGGTCACCCCATCAAAGGCCGGGGGCAGCAGTGGCCGTGCAGCTACAGAAAGCAGAAATCCAGCTCAGGGCCCAGCGACAATCACAGATTCACAGAATCTTCTATGTTGGAAGGGACCTTAAAGATCATCTTGTCCAACCGTCAACCTCACTGACAAAAATAGACACCCACACAACAAACAAGGAGCATCATCACTAAACCAGACCTCCCAGCACTACATCAACCCGTCTTTTGAACACCTCCAGGGATGGGGCCTCAACCCCCTCCCTGGGCAGCCCATTCCAATGTCCGATAACCCCCTCAGTGAAAAAATTTTTCCCAATATCCAGCCTGAACCTCCCCTGGGGCAACTTGAGGCCATTTCCTCTTGTCCTGTCGCCTGTGACTTGAGAGAAGAGACCGACCCCCATCTCTCTACACCCTCCTTTCAGGGAGTTGTAGAGAGCAATAAGGTCTCCCCTCAGCCTCCTCTTCTCCAGGCTGAACAACCCCAGTTCCCTCAGCCTCTCCTCACAAGACTTATTCTCCAGACCCCTCACCATCTTTGTTGCCCTTCTCTGGACCCGCTCCAGCACCTCAATGTCTTATGCCCACATACGGGGGATTTTCACCTCCATTTCTACCATTAAATTCTTATTCAGTTGGAAAACACAGCAGGACATGTTTTTGTAATGTTACCTGTCAGATTCAGTGCATCACTAAAAACTCCTATATGTATTTACCACCCAGTTCTGGCTCCAGAAAGTGACTTCCAAGAAGCACCCTAAGGTGAGACAAAGCTCCAGAAAGAGAGACTTGCCCAGGTTTCCTCCCCCAGCTCCTTTCTCCCAGGATTTCCAGCCGGCGGGGGCAGGAGGAGAGCTCAGCCCCGCACTTTAAAGCTGCTCCTTGGAATTAATGGCTTTGACTGACACAGCTGAGTCAGGCTAAATGAATGAAAGGTCAAATATAAGGTAATGCTTGTGTTGCCACACAGAATAAAAGCAAAGCTTAATTTACATAGTAATGCCTGACCTCAATACATTAATTTCTCTAATTCTGCGGCTCATGACAGATCTCTCTTTAGAAATGATCAACTGTGGAGACAATATTAACTGCATCTTTAAAAAAGAATTTCAATTTTAATAAAGCTTATGGAAACGACATCTAAGAGTACTTATCTTTTATACATGCTTACTAATTTATTAATGTTTCCTCCATCTCTGTTTTATCCCTTTCATTCGGACCAACCTTAATCTTTATGCAAATACAAGTTGCTAAGAGACAAACAAATTTGCAACTCCTAATTAAAGGCTTCTAAATTCCCAACATTGTGTATACTTGTATATAAAATTTAGCTGTCAGATTTAGAGTTAAATTAGGTAAGAAGTGCAATATTAATATTTCTAAGAATGCTCTCTTCATATATTTAACATTTAGGGCAATGCTACAAGCAAAAATTAAGCAATTTTTATATCAGCTGACTACTGCTTATCTAATAAAAGAAAATACTATGTTCTGAATTCTGAAGCTATAATTATCCCCTCAGCTGAGCCACTAGTCTCAAAGCAAGGACCATGTTAACATAGTTAAAAGCAGAGAATATTTTGCATGACAAATCTATCTGTCCAGCCATTTCTCAGCCCCATTTATGGACCTCCCAGGGAACGGATCCGTGTTTGTCACCGGAGCGTGTCACTGCAAATATTTTTGTGTGCTCATTCACAGGAGTCAATCATTTAGGAAACACTAAGTCAAAGCCAGAACAGTGTCTTTGCATTATCAACCATTCATAAAGTTTCTTTTATGAACTAATCCCATTACTTTTATTAACACAGAGTGAGAAGTTGCAGGCTTTGGCTGCGTGTTGTGTCAATAATCAGCATCTTTTGTTTTGTACCGGCCACTTGTGAGTTTCACTTGAAGAAACTGAATATTCATCTCCTCTTTGCCCTCTGGCAATGTGAAAAACATCAATAGCACTGGCATTTCCTCCTTACAAAATAATAATAAAGTTACACAAAGATAAAAGTATTAAAAGAATATTAAACCCACGGAGTAAGAGATTTTTGAAGTGATGTTAGAAACGTTATTGCTCTTACATACAGTGTACTCAACACTTGGAGAATGCTTTGAGGCAGTCAAAGCCACCACAGCAGAGAGTCCATATTTCAATGAGCAGAATCAATCACGTTACAAATAAGGACTGATAATCAGCATGGTGTTGGCAGGCAACTAACCTCACATCATACCAAACACATCTGGAAGATGCAGCAGCGATCCTCTCT